GTTATTCCTGGCTCTGTACTGGTGACCATGTGATGCCAGGGGTTGAACTGGGGTCCGCTGCATTCAAGACAAGCACCTTAACCCCTGTACTAGCTCTCTGGCTCTTTATAAGATGCTCTATCTTGTCTAAGTATCTGAACAATACAGTATGTAGGATATAGAGTGAATAGATGGAGCAAACTATCATACTTGATTTAAAAACAAATGTCTAAGGAAATACAATTAATTCTATATATTCATGAAATCAGATTAAGAGGTGCCTTCAATCTATAAATTCAATACATTTGCAATAAAATTATTGACAACTATCCCTTGTAGTACATACAAAGTTGACTCTCAAGTTTGTACATTAGAAAAAGAAAAGATCCAAGGAAAAAGATCAAGACAATTTTGAGGAATACAGAGAGGTTTAAAAGCATAGACTTAATGTAAGGAAATCTTTCGCTGTTCAGAGCTTTTTTTTTTTTTGATGTAATCTTATTTGCCTAAATTTGCTTTTGTTTCCCTTAACATAGAAGTTGAATCCCTGAATATACCACGAAAGTCAAATTATGGAATGCTGTAACTATGTTTATCCTGTAGTTTTGGGTTTACCTCCAAGTTTGTCATCTATTGTGAATTAACTTTTATGCACAACATGAGGTAGTGGTACTGTTTCTTTCCTTGACATGTGGCTATTCAGTTTTCCCAATACCAATTTTTGAAGAGATTTCTATTCTCCCTTTAGTGTTCTTGGTTCCTTTATCATAAAGAAACTATTTAAATGTGTGAGAATTCAGTCAGGGCTCTCAATTATATCCACTGATCTGTGTATCTGTTATTAGTCCAATACCAAACCATTTGTATTGTAATTGCATTGCAATATAGTTAGAAGTCAGGGAATATGATTCCTCCATTCTATCTCAGAATGGCTTTGACTATTCTGAGTCTTTCTTTAAAAAGAAAACTTTCTTTGCCGGAGAGCCGCTCGTGGGGGGCAGCTGGTGACCTCGGTCGGGCGTGAAGGATGGGCCGGAGCGCCCCCCTTCCCATGAGGTCCCTGCCGCCCCCACCCCCGGCTCAAACCTGCTGTCCACAAGGCTCCTGTGCGGCCGCCATCTCTCCGGCACGGCCACGGCCCCAGCAGCACAAGGACTTAGCGCAGAAAACCAGCCGCTTGGAGCAGAAATGCGAATGGACTATGTGATAAACCGCACCAGCATGCCTGCCCGGAGGGGAAAGGGTGTTGACCCACTCGCCCTGGCCTCTCTGGAAAGAAAGATGGCGGCCGCACGGGAGCCTTGTGGACAGCAGGTTTGAGCCGGGGGTGGGGGCGGCAGGGACCTCATGGGAAGGGGGGCGTTCTGGGCCGTTCTTCACGCCCGACTGAGGTCGCCAGCTGCCCCCCAGGAGCGGCTCTCCGGCACGGCCACGACTCCAGAGCACAGAAACCAATCTCTTAACTATCTAACTTTTAATAGAAATACTTCCAGGGTTAATAAGTAAAATAGCAGAAATCCAAAACCGCGCGACATCATTTAATTCTTAAACCCAGCTGTAGAAAGCAAATCATTTCACAACGCTTTTTCAGCATGTCTGATTTTGGGGGGGGGGGTGTCGTAAACTCTAAATAATAATGGTGCATCTTTTATCAAAACAATGAATCTAGTCAAAGTAGATAGAGTGTTAACTAGAACTCATCTGCCTCACAGGAATTGGGAGGGGTAGGAGGTGGGGTTCTATTGGGGTTCGCGGTTAAAAATAAGTATTGGTAAAGGGAAATGTGTTTGATATTTGCATGACTGAGACCTACACCTGAAAGCTCTGTAACTTTTCCCACAGTGATTCAATAAATAAATAAATTATAAAAAAATGCAAAAGAACAAACAAAAAAAAAGAAAACTTTCTTTAAAAAGTAAAGTTTGTTCTATTTCCTTGAAGACTATCACTGAAATTTTTATAGGGATTTCATTGAACGATACAATGCTTTGAGCAGGATAGATTCTCATAAACATAAAACATAGTTACAGCATTCCATAATTTGACTTTCATGGTACATTCAGGGATTCAACTTCTATGTTAAGGGAAACAAAAGCAAATTTAAACAAATAAGATTACATCAAATGTAAAAGTTCTGCACAGCGAAAGATTGCAGTCTCCTGCCCCCGTGCGTGGCTGTTCTCGCTGGGGCCCCTTGGAGGGGAGCGGGTCGAGCTTTCCTCCCCGCCCCGACCGGGGCTCCGGCAGCTGAAGACCTCCAGAACCAGCCACCACTATGCTGAGACCACTCTCCGCACACATGAAGGTACCGGCAGGGAAATGAAGGCACACGGGTCCCGGAACTGAGATCTCCAAGCCTACTCAGATCGGGGCTGAGCATCCTCCACCCAGATCCTCCAAATTCCAGTAGGCGGGGGTCACGCCCACCACCTGGCCCCATGGCACCGTGTAATCCCATCAACGGCCAAGACTCAGAGACTATAAAACCCAGCTCCCAGAAGCGCGCGGCTAATGCGGCCGTGCGACATCTTATCATCTCATTCCTACTTTGGACAAACTGGCAAGCTACCGAATGTAAGCAGCCCACACGGCAGAGTCTGGCAAATTCCCTGTGGCGTACCTAATATGCAAAATACCAGTAACAGTGAAGGGTCTCATTCTCCTAACTCTGAAAGAGCCTTGAATATGGCACTTTTTAAAAAATCTCAGGGCTAGGACGAAGGAGACGTTACTGGGGCCTGCTCGAGGCAATCAATGAATGAATAAACATAAAATATCTATCTTCTTGTAGTCTCTGTTTTGTCAGTGACATAATTCCTGAGGTTCAAGTGATTCCTCCTTCTATGTTAAACTTAGAAAGGAAACCTCATACACTGATGAGAAAGTAAATTGGTTCGGCTGAGGTTGAAAACGGGGCGGAGCGATAGCACAGTGGTAGGGTGTTTGCCTTACGCGCAGGCAGCCCGGCTGAAAATGAAGACTTACTGGGCCTGCTAGAGCAAATCGATGAACAACGGGAGGACAGTGTTTGTTTTTGTTAGAAATTGAAAGCAGTGCTGAGGTTTCTCAAAATATTAAAAATAGAACTACTCTATGAACCAGTAATTCCACTTCTAGAAATCAATTCAAAGACCCCAAAAGCATGAATGCAAACAAAATATTTGCACACCTGTGTTTATTGCTGCTCTTACAATAGCCAAGATATAGGAACAACCCTAATGACAATGCTTCTTTGGATAGATGAGTGGATACATAAAATGTGGTTTATATATACACAGTAAAATACTACTCAGCAATAAGAAAAAAGAAAATCTGACATTTTACAAGAACATAAGCAGAACTGGAGGAGGTGAGACTAAATTAAATAAGTCAGAAAGGACAAAGACAAATATTGGATGATCTCATCTATGTGTGGGAAATAAAGCAAACTAACAGACAAAACAAAATGAAAGCAGACCTTGTACTCAGACCACAGAACTAAGGTTACCAGAAGTGAACAAAGGCAGGGATTTTGAAGTGGGGAGGAGACCCAATGGGGTCATAATTTTGGCGTGGGAACATAAATTTCAAAGGCGTGTGATGTTATACTTCTAAATCATATATGATCATGCAAACCAATGTTCCCACATTACAAAATTTGAAGAAATATATGCAAAAAAGTTTCAAAATAATAGAAAAAAACCACCTTGAGAGTGTTTGCTTTTGTAAACCACTTTTTCTTCAAGATTGTACTCTAAAGGAAACATTAGAATTATTTATAAACAATCATAACATTGGTGGTAGGAAATGTACACTGGTAAAGGGACAGGTGCTGAAACATTTGTATGACTGCCACTTAATCATGAACAACTTTGTAATTGTGTATCTTACAGTCATTCAATAAAGGTAAAGGTAAAGGCCCTCCCGTTGATCGTCGATTTGCTCGAGCGGGCCCAGTAACATCTCCATTGGAGACTTTGTTGTTACTGTGTCTGGCATATCGAATACTCTCGGTAGCTTGCCAGGCTCTCCGAGAGGGGCGGAGGAATCGAACTCCGGTCGGCCATGTTGGCCGCTTGTAAGGCGAACGCCCTACCCGCTGTGCTATCGCTCGCGCGCCTAAAAGGTAAAGGTAAAGGCCCTCCCGTTGATCGTCAATTTGCTCGAGCGGGCCCAGTAACGTCTCCATTGGAGACTTTGTTGTTACTGTGTCTGGCATATCGAATACTCTCGGTAGCTTGCCGGGCTCTCCGAGAGGGGCAGAGGAATCGAACTCGGGTCGGCCATGTTGGCCGCATGTAAGGCAAACGCCCTACCCGCCCTACCCGCTGTGCTATCGCTCCAGCTACAGTCATTCAATAAAAAAGGGAAATAATTTTATCCACTTAAAAGTCATTGTTGAAATAAGTTGTGACGATATTGTTAATGCATGAAGCATGAGGCAAAATGATCACAATAAAAAATTGAGATTCAAAGAGAAAGAGCAGTTGGGAGGATCCTCCCAGGATGGGAGAAGCATGCTGAAAGTAGACTATAGACCAAACATGATTGCCACTCAATGCCTCTTTTGCAAACCACAACACCCAAAAGGAGAGAGAGAACAAAAGGGAATGCCTGCCGCAGAGGCAGGGTGGGATGGGGAGATGGGGGGGTGGGAGGGATACTGGGACCCATGGTGGTGAGAAATGGGCACTGGTGGAGGGATGGGTATTTGATCATTGTATAATTGAAACCCAAGCACAAAAATTTGTAAGCCTATAACTGTACCTCATGGTGTCTCGCAAATAAAAATTAAAAAATTAAAAAAAAAACAAAGAGAAAGAGCATACTGTTCTGATGATCACTCTTTTCTAACTTCATTATCTCACCTTCTCAGATAACATCTGGGGTAACATCATTACCTCCTGATTTGAACATGAATACCTGGTGAAAGACAACGGCTTATCTGTAAAGGGAAAATTGCATACGTGCCTACTTTATGGATGTTTACAAACTCTAAGCCGGTCATCCATCCTGCTTCTCTTCTCTCTTTCCCTTGCTAGGAAAGGCACCGGTGCCTAGACCTGGCTACAAACCTCAGGAGCCTAATGGCTGCAGTTCCTATTTCCTGGGCCTCAAGGTACCAGAAAGTGTACGTATACTTCCATTCTTCTCTTTCTTTTAGGAGGGATGGTTGTTTGGCCACACCGGGTGTGTTGTGCACAGGGATCACTCCTAGCAGTGCTCTGGAGACAGTCTGTGGTGGTGGGGATTGAACATGGGTTAGCTGCATGCAAGTTTAACTAGCACCTTCACCCCTTCTCCAAACCACCGCTGTTTTCTGAGTTGAGAGGTTTTAACTAAGCCTGAGCGTGGATTATCACTGATAGAAATGATCCCTATGAAATATAATTGACTGATATAATGAAGCATTGTTTTATTGGATGAGGGAAAAGAGATACTTTTCGGATTCAAAGAAAGAATCTGCTTCCTCTCCTTGGAGACAGCTGTTCCTCAGAGAATCCCCTAGTGTGGCGAACTTCGAAGTCACCATTACAAACATCGGTCAAACTCAGGAAATCAAACAGAAACTTCATCTGAAGTAGATGTGACAAGTCTGACTTATTTAACTTAGAGGGGCCTTCACAGTGATAAGCTAGAACTGTTACCCACCAGTGAGAACTGACTGTTCTAGCATCAGGAAGTTTGTGTTTTACTTCATATTAGTCATGTCAAATCAGCAATGTTTGAAGTATTAACCACAGAAATCTGCATAAATGCACCCAAACACACACATACACACACAACACATCCCTCCCACCCCCAAATATCCAGTAGTGGGTAAAAGTTTATTATCACACAACTAATCGAATCTCAAACCATCAGCCTCCTGTAAATGCAGGTAATACACTTTTTTCAAGATTTCTTGGAAGAAATCTTTTTTTAAAACAAACAAACAAACATTTTCTTTTAGAAAAGATGCTTTATCTAAAATGTAAGTAGAGTAATTTCATACTAAAGGTATGAGTTTGGCTTGTGTCTTAGGCTCTAAACTTTGCTTTTCTGCTGATAAAAAGATTTTACTTTGTAAGAATTTTCTGAGCTGGAGACAGAAAGATAGTCCAGTGGTAGGGCATTTGCCTTGCTTGCAGCTGGGTTTGATCCCCGGCATCCCATATGGTTTTCCCAAGCACTGCCAGGAGTAATTCCTGAGTGCAGAGCCAAGAATAATCCCTGAGCATCACCAGGTATGCCCCCCCTAAAAAATAAGTAATAATAATTTTTTTTCTGAGCTGCATGTTTATTCTGCTAAATAAAATGCTGCCCACCCATGTGGGACTCTCTCTCTCTCTCTCTCTCTCTCTCTCTCTCTCTCTCTCTCTCTCTCTCTTTCTGTGTGTGTGTGTGTGTGTGTGCATGTGCGCACACGTCTGCTGCAGCTTGTTGGGCTATCTCCAGCCCTTGTGTAAGAAAAATAATCTTTTCCTTGAAACAATGTTCTCAATGTTCTTCCATTTGTCAGAATTTTATCTTAATATTTTTGTTAGAAGAGGAAACCTGACTCTTGGCTAGACTTTTTCCTTACTTCTCTTCCCTCCCTTCCCCTCCCACCTGTTTTTTCTCTTCCTTCCTTCCTTCCTTCCTTCCTTCCTTCCTTCCTTCCTTCCTTCCTTCCTTTTTCCTTTCTTTCTTTCCTTCTTTCTTTTTCTTTGTTCCCTCCCTCCTTCCCTCCCTCCCTCCCTTCCTTCCTTCTTGCATTTCTCTCTCTCTTTTATTTTTGGTTTTAGGGGCACAACCAGAAATGCTCAGGGGTCACTCCTGGCTATGTACTCACGCATTACTTCTGGTGGTAAGATGCCGGGGATTGAACCCAGATCAGCCATATATAAGGCAAGTGCCCTATGTAAGGCACACGTTTTATATGCTATATTATCTCTCCAACCCCATTTTATTCCTTAATAAATAAATAGGCTCAGGAGGTAGCTCAAAGGGCTAGCACCTGTTTTGCATGTGAGGGCCCCCACCCCAGGTTGATACCTGGTTAATGTATTGTCCCCTAAGCAATACTGGGAGTCTCCCTTAGCAAACTGGGTCTGACCTCCAAACCAAAATAAAATAATATGTGCATACATACATACATACATACACACATCTATATATTTAACTTATTAAAATATGTGCGCATAGATACCTAGCGGGTGGAGAGAGCTCTGGGGTCAGGGGCAACTGCCTCCCACGCCAAGTCTGACTTGCACTGAATGAGAGTTCCTGGTCCCTCCACTACCAGCAGCCACAAAGCCAGTCTAGGAATGACCTTCCTAGCCATTGGCCAGGAATCACTGAGAGTTGCTACTGGACCTATGAAACCGCTTGGAGCCCCCCAATATATAAATTGATGATGCCTTGTGGGAAGTTGCTTCTTTACCACTGTACCCCCCCACCAGCCTTTTTCAAATCATCTCTCTCTCTCTCTCTTTTGGATTTTGGACCACAACCAGAAATGCTCAGGGGTCACTCCTTGTTACGTATTCAGGAATTATTCCTGGTGGTGCTCGGAGGACAGTGTGGAACAGTACAGAATGTGAAAGGACAGAAAAGAAAGAAATCCTTTAAAATACGTTTGATGTTAGAGAAACCATATATTTCTGGCTGATATATTTTTATTTCTTTTGGGAACAATGTTATTTTGTTTGTAGTGTTATTTAGAACTAGTTCAATAATTTCCAGTCTAGCTAAGTTGAATGAGACTCTCTATACTCATCTAATTCTAGTTACTCTCATTACAATATATTTTGAGTTTTAGGGGTGAGGTGTGGGAAAGGTTTCACTTCAGGAAACAGATGGTGAGGATATACACAGAATTGCAGAATCCAGGCTTTGCTTTGACTGATGAATTACATTGTCTCGGATACAATCATGTTTCACCATTGTCTCCTCTCTCTTTCTGCTTCTCCCTCCCTCCTTCATTTTCTCCACCCTCCTTCCCCTCCTCTTTCCCTTCTCTGTTCCTCCTTATACTCCTTTCCAGAATCTTCCTTCTAAAGTTATTTTTCCTTTCTTTTTTTCTTTAGTTATGGAATCATTGTGGGATACAATCACAAAGCTTTTATGATTGAGTTTCAGTCATACCAATGATTGAACATCCATCCCTCCACCAGTGTATAGTTTTCATCACCAATGTCCCCAGTATCCTTCCTGCCACCCCCACCCCACCCCACCCCCTGCCTCTATGGCAGACAATTTTACTAAGGGTATATTTAACTGTCCACATTATACTTTAGGTAGTCTTGGACTAAAAGTTCAAATAATAGAACACATAACTCAGGTAGGAAGGATCTCTGCCCGCTTATTACTCTCTCCTCTGTGCCTGAAACCAGATTTTCACAATTTCCATCCAAGTCCAAGTCTATATTATCAGAAAAAAATATAAAAGATTCTAAGATGGTCTTTTAACTGACTTACATTGTTTCAATCTATCTTAAGTACCATACAACTCTCTTAATCATCTTTATTGTGTTCCTTCCTCAAGAGTCTTTATCAAATCTAGTTACTTTGGGGGCACTGACTTGACTAGATAGGACTTCCAAAGTAATCTGCCCTTCTCATTAAATAAAAATGTAGACATCCATCCATCCATCCATCCATCCATCCATCTGTTTATCCATTCATCCTATTTTCTTAAGACTTAAAAAAGACTAAGCAAATTGACATGCTCACATATGATTAACTCATTAATTTTTTTATCTTCTATATTTTAAAGCAACACTCACCTCTATAATTTTCCCTCAATATTATTTCAAAATTCTTTTTAAGGGGCTAGAGAGATATTGCAGTGGATAGGGTGTTTGCCTTGCACGTGGCGAACCCAATTTAATCCAAAGAACTCTACAATCCTCTGAGCACCACCAGGAGTGATCTGCGAGTTTAGAGTCAGGAATAAGCCCTGAATACAGCTGGTTTTTGTGACACCAAAACCAAAATAAATGAAAATTTTCCCAAAAGAAGAATAAGAAAAAAGTGGGTCATCCAGAGCATCTCTCTGCTTGCAACTTAGCATTCTAGAACTGTCAAACTTCCTAAAAACTTGATGTGTTCTGTTGAGTCATTGGTGTTTGTGAATCAGTTTGAACCTGAAACAGGAATTTAAGACCTGGCTAGTTAATATCAAAGTGGGAAAGGTCGCCTGGACTCATGGTCTATTATATGCGGAATCTTCTTCCTTCACTTTTCCCCAGATGGACCTGGGCATTCCAGCAATGACCAAATGCTGCAACCAGCTGGATGTTTGTTATGACATTTGTGGTGCCAACAAGTATCGCTGCGATGCAAAATTCCGATGGTGTCTCCACTCCATCTGCTCCGATCTTAAACGGAGTTTGGGCTTTGTCTCCAACGTGGAAGGTAGGGAGCTTAAGGACATTTCTTTGTGAATAAGTACTTCTGCTCCAGTTTTCACAGAGAAATATAGCTAAGACCCCTTTCCCCAAAGAGACCATTAGAACTCATTTAACTTTATAGAACACTGAAGAGTGCAAGAAAGGATGAAGAGGGGCTGGGGATACACAGTTACAAAGCTGTTAATGGTCAGGTTTCAATCACAATATTCCATCGCCCATGCCTCCATTAGGCATATGGCTTTCCCTTCCATGCAACTGACCTACTCTAATCTGTGGACTTGTGTATAACCCCACCCCCACTCTCCGCAAGCACCACAGGAACAATTTCAGAGTGCTGAGCCCTGAGTAGCCCCCAGGTACTACTGGGTGTGGTCCTCCAGTCCTTCTCCAAAATAAAAGGGAAAGAATGAAGAAAATTGTGGGCACTCCTTCACCAAAGTTCTTGCTGTCTTGCCCAGAGCCTCTGGCACTGGTCCTGGTGGCTGAGGCTGCACTGCAGCCTTTCCAGTGATATAAAACTCTGCCCTTTAAGACCGGAACAAAGCATTGTCCATTTGGCTTTGGTTACTCATTCCACTGTTGAATAATTTTCCATATCCAGAGTGGCTCTGTGCAGAACCCCTTGATTTGGTTTAAGCACTTTTTATTAAAAAAGTTTTTTGTTCTCAATCAGGAAAAAAACTATATAATCTATTTGTGTTTGTATGATTCTAAATATACTTGAGGATAATTCTATGAAATAAGTGCTGTGTCCTCCAAATTCTAACTGAGTTGATGGTTCTTTTTTCCTAATTCGCCTTGGGAACACTTGAATGCTTTCATTTCTGAAGCTAGACCACTATATCTAGGGATGGGCATTAAACATTTTGAGAGGGTTAAGGTTTGAAATGCAGGCTGATAAAGAGCTGACTTCGTGTCCCTGAGAAAGGCAGCAGTCAAAGGACTCCCAGATCTTTTTCGTAGATGAATGTTTGGATGTGGTCCTTGAGTGAATGTGTGATGGCTGGAAAGCATGAAAATCCATAAGGCCTGGAGAGGGGGTTTCAGTCTTCTGTGCTCAGCACCGGACAAAAGCACCCACTGCTAATTCAGGCCAGGAGAGGTTGCTTCCTCCAATCTGTGTCCTTATTGACTCTTATGGTTGTTGTTGTTTTGAGGTTTTTATTATTTATTTATTTATTTTTAATGGAATCACTGTGAGATACACAGTTACAAAGCTGTTCATGGCCTGGTTTCAGGCTCAATATTCCAACGTCCATCCCTCCACTAGTGCACATTTCCCACCACCAATGTCCCCAGTTTCTCTCCTGCTTCCCCCCAACCCCTGTCCTCTCCCCCAGCCTGTCTCTATGGCAGGCATTTCCCCCCCCCCTCTCTCCATTTAGGGTTTGCAGTACAGATACTGAGAGGCTACCATGTTTGTTCTTTTACCTATTTTCAGCACAGTTCTAACCCAGAGTGATCATTTCCAACTATCTTTGTCATAGTGGTCCCTTCTCCATCCCAATTGCCTTCGTTCCCCAGCACTCGAGGCAGGCTTCCGTGACTCTTAAATACCTGTTTGCTCTCCCCCTTGATCACTTACTGAAAATCCAATCTCTGGGTCCCATATAATCTATTCTCTCCATAAGGACCAATTAGATTTTCATACCACCCGAATCTGGTCATTGCCACCCTGTGTAAGTCCTTCTGTAAACTCTTCTTCCTTGGATGAGGGGCCAGTCTCTTTGAAAGACACACACAGCCCATCTGATGCTTCTCCTGCTTCCAGGGCACTTTTATTTCTGCTTCATCTCCTGACTTTTCGCCACTCTGCATTTTTGAGTTGATGACTCCCTAACTTTCTGCTACTCCAATTCCTTCTGATTATAATACCATGAAGATTCATCTTGCTATTGTTGAAAGAGCTCTGAGATTAAATACAAGTTTTATAAATTCACCTGTTTAATTGCTTTTAAAAATGTTTCTTCACAGAGTTACCTGGTTATCCCTACAACCAATTTTAGAACATTTTCATCACTCCAAAAAAAAAATCAGATTATTGGGGAAATGGCCTAAAGGGATGGATGGAGTATGTTTGCCTTTTCATGGGGGCTGAAGTCCATGTTTTACAGGTTCAATTCTTTTTGTCGTTATTGTTTATTTTTGGGCCACACATGGTCATGCTCAGGATTTCTCAGGGGTTACTCCTGGCTCTGAACTTAGGAATCATTCCTGGCGGGGTTTAAGGGACCACATGGGACGTGGGGATTGAACCTGCAGGTCAGCTGTATGCAAGGCAAGCTCCCTACCCATTGTACTATTGCTTTGGCCCCTTCAGGTTAGACACTGAACCTGAGTTTTACCCCAGCGAATGCCCCCAGCACTGCTGGGTGTGACCACCAAAGAAACCCCACAACAATCCTTCCTTTTGACAACCACTAATCTGCTCCTTTAGATTTGCCTATTTTGAACCTTGCACACAATGAAACCATATGTCGCTTCCTATGTGATGGCTTCTTTCACGCAGCATATTTTTACATGTACTAGTATTTAATCCAATTTTTATTCTTGAACAATATTCCATTAGATGAATATAACAAATTTTCTTTATTCAAAAATGGATGGGAAAAAATGCTGGATTGCTCCAATTTTTTTCACTATTATGAATAATATGAATGAAAGTTTTTGCAGTGATATGTTTTGTAGAGAATTTCACATGAGGAGAAATTCTAAGGAGAATTTCTGGATTATGCAATAATTCTCTCTTTCCCTTCTTGAGGAACTGACCCTTTTTACCCCAAGCAGCTAAACCATTTTACATTTCCACCAGCCGTATAATAAGATTCCCATTTCTCCACGTTCTCATCAATACTTGTTAACTTTTTGATTGTAGACCTTAGTGGATATGAAATGTGATTTTGATTTGTGTTTTCCTGATTGCTAATGCTGTTGACCTTACTGAACTAATGACCTTAATGTTCTTGCTAGTCTTTGCATATCTGCTATGGAGAAATGTTTATTTTAATCCTATGTCCTTTTAAAAATTGGGATATTTGAAAAAAATTGGGATATTTGTCTTTTTATTTTATTTTATTTTTTTGCTTTTTGGGTCACACCAGGCATTGCACAGGGATTACTCCTGGCTCATGCACTCAGGAATTACTCTTGGTGGTGCTCGGGGGACCATAAGGGGTGCTGGGAAACAAACCCGGGTCGGCCACATGCAAGGCAAATGCCTTACCCGCTGTGCTATTGCTCCAGCCCATCTTTTTACTATTAGGTTGTGTGAATCCTTTATATGTGTGAATGCAAATTTGTTATCAAATATAATCAAAACTTTTTTTTTATCATCTTGTGTGTTTTAAAAAACTTTCCTGTTGATGTCATATGCAGCACAGAAGTTTCACATTTTGATCTGATTTATTGTTTTTTTCTTTTGTTTCTTAAACTTCAGTTGTATTAAAGGTGGCTTTGCCTAACCCAAGGTTACAAAGATTGACCCCTATATTTTAAATTATATTATACATTTTTAGTTAATTTCTGTGTATGGTGTAAAAGTGAGGTCCACTTTTCTTCTTTTTCTGTGCAGATGTATAATTGTTCCAGCACCATTTGTTGAAAAGGAATCAAATTGTCTTTGGACACTTATCAAGAATCAGTTGAACATAAGTGCAGAGTTTATTTCTAGATGCTCAGTTCTATTGATCTGTGCCTGTATTGAACTGTATTGCTAGAGTTTTATAGTAAGTTTTGAAATTGGGTAGTGTACTTCAACATTGTTATTTTTAAAGATTGCTTATGTTACTCTAGATCCTTTATATTTCTAAAATTTGGATTTTAGACTTAGTTTGACAATATCTTCAAGAACTGGCAGTTGGAGTCTTGATAGAACTTTTGCTATATATGCATATTCACTTGAGGACAATTGCCATCCTAATAAAATTATGTTTTCTATTAATGAACATAAATGTCTTTAATTATGATCTTTAATCTCTTCCAATGAGATTTTAGTTTTTAGAATAGAAGTCTTACATCTCCTTTAATTTATCTGCATGTTCCTTATTTTTTTTGTGGTATTGCAAATGGAATTTTTGTGTTTTTGGGGGGAGGCCACATCCAGTGGTGCTCAGGGCTTACTCCTGGCTCTGTGTTTAGGAATCACTCCTGGCGGGGTTCCGGGGAGTATTTGGGGTGCTGGGTATCGAACCTGGGTTGGCTGCATGCATGGAAGGAGCCCTACCCACTGTACTATCTCTCTGGCCCCAGAATTGCTTTCTTAATTTCATTTTAAAATAATTCATTACTAACAGAGAAATGCAACTGACTTTGAGTATTAGTCTTTTAAATTTTTATTTTGTTTTGTTTTTGTTTTGGGGTCACACCTAGCACTGCTCAGGGACCACTCCTGGCTCTGCTGTCAGGAATTAATCCTGGTGGTGCTCAGGTGACTATATAGGTTGCCAGGTTAGTCATGTGCAAGGAAAGTGCCCTACCACTGTATTATCTCTCTGGCTCCTTAAACTTTTATTTTACTTTTTTTCCCCCCTTAATCACTGTCAACATTCATCTTCTTTTTCTCTCTTGACATAGCTGAGGAGTGTTCCATCTCCATCTCAAACTGCCTTTATAAAATTGATCTTCGTCACTTCATTGAGGACTGTGCCTTTTGGCGTTCACTCTTGCTTTCAAAAATTCTCTTCCAGGGCTGGAGTGATAGTACAGCGGGTAGGGCATTTGCCTTGCATGCGGCCGGCCCCGGTTCTATCCCCAGCATCCCATATGATCCCCTGAGCACCACCAGGCGTAATTCCTGAGTGCAAAGTCAGGAGTAACCCCTGTGCATCGTGAGGTTAGCCAAAAAGCCAAAAAAAAAAATTCTCTCCCATTCCTCAACATAAGTATAAAAATCCTTCCTTGACCCATATTATCCTCCAACTTGTCTCTATTTCTGTACTTTTCCTCACAGTTAGATTTCTTCACATTTGGGGGCGGAGCGATAGCACAGCAGGAAGGGCATTTGCCTTGAACGCAGCCAACCCGGGTTCAATCCCCAGCATCCCATATGGTCCCCCCAAGGACCTCCATATGGTCCTCCCAAATACCCCCAAGGAGTATTTCCTGAGTGCAGAGCCAGGAGTAACTCCTGAGCATCACCGGATGCAAGCCAAAAAAAAAACAACAACAACAACAACAACAGAATTTCTTCACATCTGAAGTGGTTTTGAGAGATAGGGAATGTCTCTGAATTCAACTAAACTCAACTTTTCCTAAAGTCTTGCATATTGAGTTTTTTTCCTGTAGCCTCACTGAACTCAGTTATTTATTCTAAGAGATTTTTAGTATTTTGATTGATATATGTAAAATATATCAATTTTAATCATTTAATATTATTTTTTGTTTTTTCTTGGACCACACTCAGCAGTGTTCAGAGGTTACTCCTGGCTCTTCATTCAGGAATTACTCTTGGAAGCGCTCAGTGGGCCATATGTGATGCTAGAGATTGAACCCGGGTCCACTGCATGCAAGGCAAATGCCCTACCCATTGTATGTCACTCCACCCCCTTCCTTTCCAAATGAATGCCATTTCCTTCCCTTGTCTAATTACCCAGGCTAACACTTCCCATAAAATATTGAATAGAAGCAGTAAAAGCAAGCATTAAAATCTTGTTCCTGATCTTATGAGAAACGCCTTTAGCCTTTCACCACTAAACACAATTGTTAATTGTTAATTGTGCTCTTTTGCAAGTGGCTTTTAGATCAGAGTACTCTTTTATTTCTAGTTTGTGTGTATTTTTAATCATAAAATTTTTGGCTTTTCCCTACATCATCATGAGATAATATTTTAGCTTTTGTCTTTAATTCTCTTGGTACAGAGTATTGCATAATTTTTAAAAATAGTAAACCAACTTTGTAGTCTTATGATAAATCCTTCTTGCTCATGATGCTATCCCTTTAATATGCTGCTGGGTTTAGTTTATTAGCATTCTGTTGAGACTATGGCTCATGGTTTGTTTTTCTTATGATGTCTTTGTTTTGCTATCAGAGAACTGAACTCAAAAAATAAGCCGAGAAATGATCCCTCTTGACTTAATTTTTGAAGTGATTTGGAAAGGACTGGTATTTGTAGTTCTTTAAAGGTTTGGTAAAATTCACCATTACATTCATGTAGAATTGAATTTTGTTTTGGAAGATTATAATTGCAAATTCAAATTAGTAACCTATTTGTATTCCCTAGCATTCTTCTATTGTATTCTTCCATTTATATTTTCTATTCTTCTTGAGTCATTTTAAGTAGTTTATATTTGTTAGGGTTTTGTTTAATTCAAAATGAGTTATGTAATTTTTGACATGTAGTTGTTATGTCTAAATTCTTTGTTTTTCTGTAAGATCAGTAGTGATGGCCAGCTTTCATCCCTGTATTTACTCACTTGAAGTTTTAATTTTTTTCTAGCTGAAAGTTTATAAATTTTGTTGCTTTTTTCAAAGAATTAACTTAAAAACATTCACATCACTCTTCGAGGTATATAATTCAGTACTTTCTCACATATTCAGAATTATGAGTTTAACACTAATAGTCTAATTCCAAAGCATTTTATTAGCTTCCAAAGAAACTCCATACCCATTGATCCTTCTCATAGCCCTCCACCCATAGTCCCTGCAATAAGTAGTTTACTTTTTCACTATGGTTTTGTCAATATGAGTTCCTATAAAGGTAATCATATTAGGCCATTTGTGTGTTTCTAAGATTCATACATATTGAAGCATGTGCTTCATTTCCCTGATAATTATAGAATTTTAAAGTTCTAGAACCAAAGTTCTACCCACAAAGGGACAGAAACCTTTCTATGGGCTCCCTACTGCCCCAGAGTGTAACAACACAACTGTTCATCTGATTCACTTCATCCAAACTCCCTGATTTGGGGATCTCTTTGGTCTCTGTATCCCTGAAAACTTTGGAATGGCTGAGTAACATATCCTAAACATTCTCATTTTTTCAAGGAACGAGTGGTTACTCACCCCACACTTGAAGGGAAAGTTAGAAGAAATAAATTGTATCTGAGAAAAAAATTTTAATTTCGGTTTTTGGGCCACAGCTGGTTATGTTCAGGGCTGACTCTTGGCTCTCTGCTAAGGGATCACTCCTGGTGAGCTTAGGGGACCACATGGGATGGTGGGGATCAAATCCAGGTAGTGTACATACAAGGCAAGTGCCCTAACCACTGAAGTATCACTCTTGCCCCACTCAGGGAATCCTTTTGAAAAAATGATAGATTTTGATTTTCCACAGAGGACAATGGTATGAGAAATTCTGATTACTAAACACCAATTGACCTGGAGACCCTTACAAGGAGAGGAAACCCCCTGGTATACTTTGTTTCTTGGGTTGGGCTGGAGCTTCTCTGAAAGAAGCTTCTCTTAAATATTTGTTTTCTTTTTAATTCTAGCTCTGAGGATTCTGTCCTCTGGCTAGCATGCCTTCCTTAGGACTCTTACTCTTTGAGGTAATCCATCCTTTGCATTTACCTTTAAATTAACCGTCATATTTCTCTCTGTCTTCTTCAAACAGCCTGCGACACTCTGGTCGACACCGTCTTTAATACGGTGTGGACTCTGGGCTGTCGGCCCTTCATGAACAGTCAGCGGGCATCCTGCATCTGTGCGGAGGAGGAAAAAGAAGAGCTCTGAGGATGAGATTGCTTCCTGGTCTTGGGCAGCACCACAGACACCATCTCTGAGATGGAAGTGTGGCAGAGGCATCCCGCCCTTCCCTCCAGGTGGGACTTCCCCAAACAGAGGAAGGAAAGACCCTACAGCCGAGAAGAAAGTCCTGTCCATGAAGGAGAACTGAACAAAAGACATGGAGTGGTTTAAAGATTGCTCTTTCCTGTCTCTTGGGCTCCCCAACCAAGACTTGTTGGCCTGGAAATTCACTTCTTCGTTTTACTACGAAAATCCTGGAACTCATCATTACATTCAAAAGTGAATATTTGGAGAGCCCAGTTATTCAAGCAGTGCTTTTCATTGCTATGTTTTAGTTGCCAGTTAAGCCTCGCACAAATAAAGTGTATTTTTTAGAAAAATTGAAAGGAGATAGATGAATCCATTATCACCATATGTTTCCATTTCATTTAGAACAGAACCCAACCTGGTGTCATCAACAACAATTGCTCCCACAGGTGCTGAGGAGATGAAAGCAGGCAGTCTTAGAGGCTGAGCCGATCCAGGCCAGTGGAACTAAAGGTCAGGTGAAGTTAGACCTGAGTTTCTAATTTTTTCCATGAACTATTCCTATTGATATTGGAGGAATAGGGGTACATCTAGTGTGCTCAGGGCTTATTCTAGGTTCTGAGTTCAAGGATAACTCCTGGTGGGCTTAGGGACCATACGGGATTCCAGGGAATAAACCCAGGTTTTCTACACGCAAGGTAAGACCCTACTCGCTGTACTCTTTCTCCAGCCCCTCCTTTCGGTATTTAATTACAACATGGTATCAGTATCATGTTAGAGTCTGAGAAATTCTTTGTAAATAATGCCACTGAGATACTAGAAAATACCTTAAAATATCAGAGGAGTAAAAGACAAATTCAGTCCCTAAATTCTGCTTCTCAGCCCTGACTGTGGATTAGAACCACCTGAGCAGTATTAAAATACAAGGCTTTATTCCACATGGAAACACCCATGTTCTCTCTAGAACATACCTCTCCTCTCTTATGTCTCACTAAAACTACTTTGCATCGCTAAATGAACAACAAAACAAAAACAAACATAAAACCAGAAACAGAATCTATAGATGGGGGGGGGTCCCTATCTATACCTGGTTATTTATAAAAGCAGAGTGATTCTAATGCCATCTAGGACAGAGGACCAATAAGGTCAGGGATGACATATGGCCCAATATCTGAAAGGTTCACTGGAGCTCAACCCTGCTCACGCCACGCCCATCCACAGCCCAGCCTGTGCTACACCAAAGAGCTGAGTAGTTATGACGATGACTGTGTGACCTAGAAAGTCCAAGATAGATGACTTTTGACATCTCACAGGAAGTGCTGGTTACTCACAATGCAGATATTTTCATCTCTTTTTAATCTCACCTATTCTTTTAGAACAGTTTTGGACCGGGGCTATAGCTGTAGACTGGCATGCGTGAGGTCCCAGATTTCATTCCCAGCACCGAAAGCCAACCAACAAAAATTGTTGATTGTAGGCATTTCTATAAAGGAAAAGATAAAGTTTTCTGATCTTATGTAAAGTCAAATAATATATTTAAATACTAAGAAATTGGAGCCAGAGAGATAACCAGAGAGATAATGCAGCAGGGAAGGTGCTCACCTTGCACATGGCTAAGCCTAATTTGATCTCCTACATCGAATATGGTCCCTCCAGAACTGCCAGCAGTGAACCCTGGACACAGAGCCTGAAGTAAGCCCTGAGCACCTCTGGGTAAGGGACCCCCAATTAAGAAATTGGTTATAGATAAAATTTATCTTTTTGATTTATTTCAGTATAGTTCACTAAGCCCCTACTAAATGGACTATGGGATAATTTTATACCTTTACCTCTTATCCTGAGGGTATAAATGCCAGAGAGTAACAGGACAAGTGATACCAAATTTTAATTGCTGTCTATAGTTTAGTCATGAAGACAATTAAATGGATGTTAGAGAATTATCAACATTTATTAATTAAAAATATTTCACTTGGGACAAGATATTAAAACACCAAAATATTGTGTAAGAGCAAACAGTATTTTTGTTTTGTTTTGGGGCCACCCCTGATCGTGTTCAGGGCTGACTACGGGCTCTGTGCTCACTCCTGGTCGGGCTGGATGGGGCATAGGGGTGCTAGGGTCAGCCGTGTGCAAGGCAATGGTCCTACCCACAATACTATCTCTCTGGCCCGGATTGTCTTTTTCTTTTTTTATATTTCAAATCCCCTATAACTATTTTGTATTTGGGTGTAATCACTATTTCAAAAATTCATTTAGGGGTATTTTTGTTTTAATTCCAAGCAAGTCTTTGATTTTGTTTTTAAGTCCTTTATGTGAAGCAGGAGTCCAGCCTCTGCAGTGGTGAAGTGCAAGGTGTTTTGTGGAGGTGGACAGCTCGGTTTTGTGTGGACTGGCTTCCTCTGGCTGACAAAAGCCGTGCAGCGGCTGTTCCTGTGGGTGGAGTCAGATTGAGCTGGTTCTGGAAGCCAGTTTCAACCCCCAGGTGAGGTTTGAAGATGTTCTGCATTCTAGGAAGTCCACTGATGTCCTCTGAAGGTGCGAGGTGAAGTTCCAAAGAGGTGGCGGTGGGAAGCCAGGCCCAGATGCAGAGCTGGCTCAGTCCTCCCAGTCGATGCTGATGGGGCCGCCCATGAGCATCTGGCCCCGGGCCCCCTCTGCATCCTCTCCCTCTCCTGCCTGGCGGCGCACTCGTTGGTGGCAGCCCTGGGCACAGCGGGACCGCTGGTCCAGCACCCCGCACACCAGGACTCGGCAGTGCAGAAACACCTCCTGCAGAGAAAGAGCAGAGGACAGTCAGAGGGACGGGCACCCACCAGGTGCTCTCCCTTCAACCCAAGAAGAGGCTCCAACATTTCCAGAACTTGTCTAACGCAGGCTTGGAATACTGAGGGGCAAACTCTAGTCCTGGGGATGACTTGGGAGCCAGCATGCATCACTTTGGAGTCTTTGAGAGGACATCACACAACATAGCCATCTCCCGGCCGCAGGCCAGGCAGGGCTGACCCACTCCCCAACACCATTTTGCTGGGTCAGTTGGGGAGTTTTCCCTCCAGGAAACTGCTCCAAGCTACCTCCTGAGGTGAGAGATCAAATTAGCAGGCAAACTCAGCAACGTCTGCTGTTTTGTTTGGAGAACCCTAGGATGGCAACTCGTGACCCGAGAGAGGCCATGGGGTCCCAGGGACGGATCCCGGAGTCCTATGCCTGTCATCAGGAGGATTCTAAGTTGTGTCTAGGGCCCTCCAGCAACTGCTTTGGAATAGTGACTTCACTGGGAAAGGAATAGGTGTGGAAAAGATGGTCTCTTTACCTTTCTTTGTTTTAAAAGTTTCAATGACTCAACCAAAGCAAGAGACAAAATCACTTTTACCTTAATGTAACTTATACAGTCTCTTTTTCTACAGGGCTTCTGATAAACACTATGCATTTTATATATATATATATGAAATTATATATTTACACATATATATTTCTTTTTAATGTAGCATAATCAAGGTGCATGTAAATCATATGACAAACATTTTCTTGGTAGCATTTTGAAATATTCATTATGTGTTTAATATTGTATTAATAATATATCCTGTTGTGGGCTTTTTCACCTGACTTACAGCAATGCTCTTTAAATATAACCTACAAACTTTGTTTTTCTTTCTTTGCTATTTAGAAGCTGTTAAAATTGAAATGTATACGTAAAAGAATATTTAGATTTTATTACTGCATAGTTACAGGACTTCATAGAAAGTACCCATTTCTGTGACTTGGCACCCTGTCAATTGGCACACTGTCCTCCCGTTGTTCATTGATTTGCTCGAGTGGGCCCAGTAACATCTCCATTGTGAGACTTGTTACTGTGTTTGGCATATTGAGGGTGAGATACTCTCGGTAGTGTGCCGGGTTCTCCGAGAGGGGCGGAGGAATCGAACCTAGATCTTCCAGGCCAGCCGCGCACAAGGCAAATGCCCTACCGCTGTGCTATCTCTCCAGTGACCTGGCAAGTGTTGTTTATAATAAGTTTAATATGTATAAAATAATATCACTGATTTAATCAACATTTTAAGTTAATTTTCACCAACTATGTTACTGTTTGTCTCTCCTGTGGATGGTTCATCTTTTCTCCTTGCTTTGTGACCATCATGTACTATTTCATGATCTATTGGTGTTTTCTCTGAATTAGCACAGAGCAAATAATTGTGACATTCAAGAAGGTGTTAAGTTTCTTGGGGACCAGTTTCATAATATTTTTCCTCAAAGAGACATAGATTCTAATCTGGGGCTGGTAGAGCATCAACAAACTGAGTCTCTGGGAAGAAGGCAGCTTCAGGAGAAGGGGTGATTTAAGAGGCATTCAGCTCACCTTGTGGTCCTTGCCCACGAACTTGAACACGGGGACCTGAAAGTGCTTGGCTAGGTGATCCCGAGATGTGTACTGCTTCACTGAGTCATCAGAAACACAGCTGAAAGTAGGACAGGGGAGCACTTCAGACCTGATTGTTTAAACAGAGGTGGAAAAACCAAGCAGGCCAATGCGTCTCCAGGCCAAGGAGAGGCAAGCGGGGTGGGACTCTGGGCTGGGCTCAAGCATCTGGAAAATGGAGGAAAATGGGAATTTCCTCCCTGAGAGTGCATCTTCGGCCAGTATCCTCACGAAGCCGCCTGTCTTCTCATTTGCTACCCCCCCACCACCCCAAACTGGGCACAAGAATCTTCTGTTCCTCAAGTAGTAGCTACATAAATAAAACTTATTTTAAAGAAACTGTTTGCTGGGAAGTCTATATTTTCATTCACTATTTTCATATCTATTGCAGGAATTCTGAACATAGGCTTGGTTTGAGGAGGTCTTTCCTTCAATTTCATGAATTTTTTTTTAGATACCCAGTAGACATGAATCCTTGAGAGACATTCAAAGGTGAGCAGACCCCAATTTGTGTAATCGAAGAGTTCCACCAGGACTCATGTTTCTTTGAGAATTGGGGTAAATCCATTTCCCTCTGCATTGTTTTAACAAGCACTTCCACAAATGCAGCGATAACTTGCACAGGGTTTTGGATAAATAATAGTTTCAAGTCTACTGTTCAGAGTGAAAGTCCTGCTCGCCTCTCTGCATGAACTGGGGGAGAAGATGCGTCAGTGGGTCTCTAGTTCAAGGCCAAGGTCTAATACGCATGAACCCCTTCACCTTGAAAACTAGGGTCCACAATGTATTATCTTTTCCATTTGGAAGAAACTTTTTTTTCCTGGTTATAGTTTCCTTTAGAAGGATACTGAAGACTTCCTGGCTACCAAGACAGGAAAAAAGCAGTGATCAGGTTTGAAAGCTTATGAAACTGGAAATTTTGGTCACTTTCTAGTTCACTCTGTGGTTCAGTGCTAAATGCTTCCTCTTTGGGGAGGCAGGACGGGGTGTGCTGTTAGTGGTCACATCTGGCAGTGCTCAGGGCCATTTCTAGCTCTGTGCTCACAAGTGACCCCTGGAGGTGCTGGGGGAGAAGGAAATATACTGTGTCAGGGATTCAAATTGGGGTCAGCTGCATGCAAAGCAAGCACCTTAAACCCTGTACTGTCTCCTTGGCCCCTTGCTAATTGCTCTTTCAGTGCCATTAAAGAAACCAATAAAATTATTTAAAAAAAATATTGGGCTGGACAGACAGTACAGTGGATAGAATGCTTGCCTTGCATGTGACCAACTCAGGTTCAATCCCTGGTCCTCTGTCTGGTCTCCCAAGCTCTCCAAGAGTGATCCCTGAGTACAGAGACAGGAGTGACTTCTGAGCACTGCTAGAGTGACCCCTAAACAGATGAATAATATTTTACTTTGTATAATTATCAGAATTTTATTTTCTAATTAGGGTTTAAAATCATAATGCAACTTCTGTTATTTCTTCTACTTATATACTCTATTTTTCCTGAGATAAAATGAATTCATACTATTTTACAATTATGCTCTTCAACTAATATATATTGAATATCTTATCTGTGCAGCAAATTCTGCTGAGTGCCTCAGAGGATAGAAAGATGAATAATATGCTTTATGATATCAAGAAGTTTATAGTTCATGGACTGGAGAGATAGTATAGTGAGGAGTGCACTTTCCTTTCATGGAGTCAACCAAGGTTTGATTTCTTGAACCATATATAGTCCTACAAGTACCTCCAGGAGTAATCTCTGAGTCTAGTCAGCTGTAACCCCCCCCCCCAACTTTATCATTCAGGATCTATGATAATAGTATACGCCATTAATAAAATATTAAAATGGCACTTTTTGTCTAAGTACCTCAGCATTTTAAACTTATTTTTATCTAAAAATATTAACATTTTTCTTTAAAAAATAAGGCACATAGAGTTGTTATAGGTAACACTTTATAGAATCAATATAGGACAAATGATAATTCTGGACTGTTTGCTGTGATGAGAAAATGTGAGTTCTGAGAAGTAATGGTGGTATAACATATTCCAAAATAACATAGTTCCAAATATCTGAAAGTCCCCCAACATTTGATTTTAGAATTTATGTTTCTTTTCCTGGAATTTAACTTTTCAATTCTTTGCTTAGGCTTGTTTAACCTATTTTGCATTCTCAGAGCAAACACCTAATAGAGGGAGGTGAATTTGATATGTTAAATGCCAGGGAAAACTAGCCTGACTTAAGTTAAAACAGGACAATGAATAACAAACTATTTCTTAATATAAGTTCAACTATTTTTTATTTATTTGGGGGGCTGTGGATTAGCCCTACATTTCTATCAAGGTAGTCATTTAACAATAATTCTTTGTCTAGTATTTAATGACCCAAAGTATAGACTGGGCATTGAGGAAGAAGGTTTTAGTTGTTTCATCTTTTGGCCATATCAGGATTCAAACCCAAGGCCTCAGACAACCCCAGACAAATGACCGATGAGTCTCTCAACCTCTGTGCATCCCCTTCCCTTCTGTTCAGGTTTGAAGGAATTAGGAGAGGTTTCTAAGTTTGTTTGGCAAAAACAAACTCCAGGAAACTAGAAGGATAAGTAAGAATCAGACAGGAAGGAAAGCAGAGGACTTCAGGCAGAGGAAATAGCAGGTGCAGAGGCAGGAGGGTGAAGAATGGAGGTCAGGAATTTCCCACAGTTCTGGTGAAGGCAGAGATTAGAGGGTAAGGCCCAGTGAACCCCATCGAGAACTGGATTTTATCTTCTGGGATTAGCTCATATATACCACTACTAATAGATACATACATATATATACACACACATACATATATACACCCCGCGTGTATACTGGCAGAGGGACAAAGTCACGCGGGTTCTGGGGCCGAGATCTCCAAGCCAACGGCCAAGACTCAGAGACTATAAAACCAGCTCCTGGAAGAGAACAGTGCAGTCTCCTGCCCCCGCGCCTGAGTGTCCTCGCCGCAAGGGCCCCTTGGAGGGGAGCGGGTTGAGCTTTCCTCCCCGCCCTGACCAGGGCTCCGGCAGCCGAAGACCTCCAGGACCAGCCACCACCATGCTGAGACCACTCTCCGCACACATGAAGGTACTGGCAGAGGGACAAAGTCACGCGGGTTCCGGGGCCGAGATCTCCAAGCCTACTTGGATTTGGGCCTAGCATCCTCCACCCAGATCCTCCAAATTCCAGTAGGCGGGGGTCACACCCACAAACTGGCTCCCTGGCGCCGTGTAATCCCATCAACGGCCAAGACTCAGAGACTATAAAAACCAGCTCCCAGAACCGCGCGGCCGCGATATCTTATTATGACATCTTATTATCTCATTCCTACTTTGGACAAACTTGCAGGCTATCGAATGTAGCCTGCCCACACGGCAGAGTCTGGCAAACTCCCTGTGGCGTACCCAATATGCCAAATACCAGTAACAATGATGGGTCTCATTCTCCTAAAGAGCCTTGAATATAGTCTCAGGGCTAGGATGAAGGAGACGTTACTGGGGCCTGCTCGAGAGAATCGACAATTAACAGGATGATTTGTGATTGTGTGATTGACATATATACACACCATTACTGATACACACATATTATATATATGTATATATCTAATGGCTATTATATGTGTTATGGACTAGAAAATTAAGCTTCTCAGAACTTTCTAAGTCAAAACATAGCTACTCCTTAACTGAGTATCTGCATAACAAATATGAATCAGCTTTACAAGCTGCATCGAGATGGGAAACAGGTATTTCCCCAGTGGGTGAGTTATGATTGCATATTTTTGTGACTAGTAAATGTAAGTGGCAGAAGAAAATTCTTGGGGTGAGAACATGGTCACTATTTTGATTATTACCATGACTTCACAAGCATCTGCAACTCAACTTACCAAACTGCATGATTGATTTATTCTTGGGGATTGAAACCCGGGCCTCATGAACATGAAATGTGGGCACTGTCACCAAGCCCCAAACACTATTATACTTTCAATATGTCTATCTATGGTATGCAAATAGTATTCAAAGCTATTACAGAATTAAAATAAAGCAAAATCAATTTTCTTCAAAAGTAGGTACATTCCCTAATCCACTCAGCACTAAATATGTGCCTAAAAAGTGAAACAAAAAAAAATGCTGTATTGTTTAATATTAAAGCTTTATGGTTCCTTTCACAATGGCAAAAAAAAAAAGTCCAAAGTGCTACAAAGCCTGATAAGGCATATGATTATCATCCAAAGCAACTCAATGATACATTGTCCATATTTTGAAAATAAACTAAGGCAACAACAAGAATCTGAGGCTAGATTTCCAACCAAAGGAAATCAAGAGCCACTAAAATCTTTCTACCAGGGCTGTCACACACACACACACACACACACACACACAAACACATGTATTTCTGTTATAAATATCTAATACTTTTATGCCACATAGGATATGATACAAATAGTATAGGTATATATAAATAGAATCTTTCTGTTACAACATATATAATATTTCCCTTTTGGTTGGCTACCTAGGGCTCTGTAGAACTGAGATTTGAAAGTTGGAATTTAGGAGGCAAATAAGAAGTTGTTGTTGTTGTTGTTGTTTTAAGTTTTTGAGTCACCCCTGCAATACTCAGTGGTTACTCCTGGTGGTGCTTGAAGGGCCAAATGGGATTCCGCAACCCCTGGTTCATCACATGCAAGACAAGCACCCTACCTGCTGTTAAGAAGGTCTTTTAGCAGTCTGGACAACAATAAACGCTGGAGTTAAGGCAGAAAGTAGAAAAGTGAGGGGCTGGAGTAATAGCACAGCAGGTAGGGTGTTTGCCTTGTACGAAGCTGACCCGGGTTCGATTCCCAGCATCCCATATGGTCCCCTGAACACCGCCAGTGGTAATTCCTGAGTGCATGAGCCAGGAGTAACCCCTGAGCATCGTCAGGTGTGACGCAAAAAAGAAAGAAAGAAAGAAAGAAAGAAAGAAAGAAAGAAAGAAAGAAAGAAAGAAAGAAGGAAGGAAAAGTGAGTGGGATTGGGCTAGTGCAGCTTTTAAAGAGTTTCTCCATTGATCCTAGTATGCAGCCAGAGTGGAAACTCCTGTGTCAGGGATTGAGAGCAGCAGGTGAAGGTTGCCTGTGACGGGATCCAAAGAGATGAAAGCAAAGCAGAAGTTTCAAACGATGGATGTGGTCAATTAGCTAAGGGCCTGAGCCCAGGCACAGCTGCCAGCTGACAAGCCCATTTCCCTCTCATTAGCCTCAGCTGCCCAAGCTCTGGGAGAGGGCTCTTCCTGGGGCCGGAAGCAGTGGTGTTGGGACAGCTGCCAGGATGTCCCAGATACGTGGTGCCACCTGTAGGTCCCCTGGGAAACGTGGGGATCCATCATCTTTGCAGCAGCCTCCACTTGAACTTTCCTGTCCTAAATGCGTCAAGGATGCCTCACTCTCCTAGCCAGGCCCTGGAAGAGGGGCCCCTCGCTGAAGCACCCACCTGCTCTACCCTCACGTTTTGGAATACACCCTGTTCCAGCCTTTCTCTGGGCTGCTTCACCCAGCTGAGTTCCTGCTGGAAACAGGGAGAGTCTCTGCGCTTCTCTTTTCATTTGCTTGTTTGTTTCTGGATCACACGCAGGGGTGCTCAGGGTTTATTCCTGGATTGCAGAGCCATATAGGAAGCCCGGGATCGAACCTGGGCCAGCTGAGTTCAAGGCAAGTACCTCCTGTACTATCGCTCTGGCCCCATCTCAGTGCTCATCAACCCTCATCCACCTGCAGACTGTCACTGGTACATGGACCAGCTGTCAAAACCTGCTGGAAGTTGAGGGAGCATCTACACTCCCGACACAGGGCTGCTACACTGTTCCACCTGCTTGGTGATATCATACTCCTGCGTCCTTAGCAGAGAAGCCGTGTCCTACGGGCACTTACAGTTCATTATTGTGTGAAATGATCAACATTCTCAAGTCCTCTTTTCTGCCTATGTATGACCTGTGGTCTTGGATAATGGCATCTGATAAGTCACCTAAGTCATGTAGTAAGTCTAGTAGGCCTCTTGGAGAAATTTTTTTTTATCTCCCTTTCCTTCACCAGTTTCTATTTTATTTATTTATTTATTTTGTATCATACCATGTATGCTCAGGGGCAACTCCTGGCTATATATTCAGGGTTGATCCCTGACAGTGCTCAGGAAGCCAGGTACAGTGGCGGGCATCAAAGAGAGGTCAGTGGCACCCATGACAAGTGCCCCCACCCTGGGACTATCTAGCCCTTTCCTCACCAGTTTTGGCCTCCAAACTCTCAGTAAACCATTTCTGAAATAAGGCTTGCAAGCTTGTCATGGATTTTAGAAAAACCCTCAGTGGGTCTGCTGGACACGAGAGCCAGGGGTCCACCGGGAACAGAAAACCATGGTCACAGCATAGTTACCCATCCCGGATGAGGTAGTACTTCAGGATCTCGTCGATCTTGGCAGTGGGGGTGGCAAAGCAGCTCTCCACCAGGCTCTCCAAACCCGTCACGTGTACCAGGGGCTCGATGCCAAAGTAGAGGGAGTCCCGGAGCTTCAGCGCGGGCAGAGCCTCCCGGTAGGGCTCTTCGAACTCGTTATCCTTGAAGATCTCCAGCGTGAAGGGGAAGACCCCGTGGCTGCGGCTGAGGATCTCCAGAGGGGCATTCCGCAGACGGGGCACGTAGCCCTCGGAGATGGTGTAGAGGCGCGGAAACTCGCAGGTGACGGGGATGAGCAACTTGCTGGTGCGGATGATGATGTCCCCACTGCTCCCAGGGGTCTGCTTGGGGAGGCCCGTCACCAGGTTGCTGGCCACGATCTTGTCGTTCACCACCTGAGCCCCGCCGGGGGGGAGGAGGAAAAAGATCTCTCATTTAAGTGGACAGATGTTCTGTCCTTCTTAACCTGAGCCATCTTCAAATTTCCATTGACATCAACACGCAGGAGAGCCTTGGTTGATTAAACCTGAGGCTGCTTTATTGTTGGGGGTCCACACCAGGCAATATTTGGGTTATTTCTGGCAGGGCTCAGGGGACCACCTCGGGTGCTGGGGATGAAACCCAGGAAGACTGCATACATGCAAGTGTCCTCCCTGAGGTACTATCTGGTCCCATGAAGCTGTTTGTTTTTAGTTCAAGATAATGTAACTTTATTAATTTCATTTATTTATTTTTTTAATTAAATCACCCTGAGACACACAGTTACAAAGTTGTTCATGATTGGGTTTCAGTCATGCAACGTTCCAACACTGGTTCCTTCACTGGTATACTTTCCACCACCAATGTTCCCAGCTTCCCTCCTTCCACCTCCCACTCCCAGTATGCCTCTATGGTGGGCATCTCTCTTCCCTCCTTCTCCCATTTTGGTGCTGACAGTTTATTACGTATATCCCTTTAGCACCTTTCAGCACTCAGTTCTTGTCTAGGGTGATCATTTCCAAATATCATTGTCATAGTGGTCCCTTCTCTATCTGAACTGCGCTCCACTCCTCCACTGTGGCAGCCTCCAACCAGGGTCAGTGCTCCTGGCCCTTGTTTCTACTGTCTTTGAGTAGGAAGCTGCTTTACAATTGCTCCTCTTCTCTGTAGCAATATGCTCTGACTGTAAACATTTACATCCTACTTCACACTCAATTCCTGCATTTCTTTGGGATGTTGCTCATACCTCTGGATAGTTAGGCAGAATCCCCAAATTCCAAGCTCTGGTATTTCAGAAAAGAACACTTTCTGTTGATTTTTTTCCTTTTTATTTTCTTTCTTTTCTCTCTCTTTTTTTGCTTTTTTGAGCCACATCTAGCAATGTTCAGGGTATACTCCAGGCTCTGCGTTCAGGAATTACTCCTGATGGACCTTAGGGATTATATGGCCTGTCAGGGATGCAGCCCAGGTCAGCCGTATGCAAGGCGAGTGCCCTCCCCACTGTGCTGTTGCTCTGGTCTCTCTTATTTTTCCCTCTGGAAATCCAGACCTGTTGACCATACTGCATAGAGCATGACTGTGTGGGACTCAGCCCTGTAGAACTTGAGTGACTTCACCAGTTCAGGTGAACTCTGGTCCTTTAACTCCTGTCACGTTTGGAAGCAGAGATGTCACACATTCCAGCCCATTATGGGCATTTCCATTTGGTCACTGGCTGAAAGAACACAACAGAAAGGAGCCTTGCCTTCCCTCTTGGCAATCTCCCCCATTTCTCCCCCCAGGTACACTTGCTCTTTGCTTTTTTCTTAGTTTGGATTCAGGAAAGTCAGAGGTTGTGAGTGCCCTGCACACACCACCTCCATCCCTGTACTCTTTCTTCTACCAATCTGGCAGGCTTGTGATTTTACCACCACAGTATCTACTTCACCCTGTTTCTGTGGTGTCAAATCCAGACACATTACAATGGAGCACGTAAGGCTGATCTTTGGAATCCACAAGCCACTCCTGTTTACTTTTCGAATTTCCTTTCCAGCATGAAAGCTTTGCTCGTTAGGTTGTGCTGTCTCATAATCTCAGCAGAAGGTGGACACACGCCCATCTCTGCGATACGCTCATGCTCCCAGGCCTTCTCTTTTTTCTGCCTTTATACATCTCACACAAGCTTCCATCCATTTCCAGTCTCACTGGGTCTGACTGCTCCAAAGCCCTTTCTAAATTGTTCATCTGCGAAGGCATCTGCCATCTGTATCCCTTGCTTGGGGGCTGTTCTCTTCTTAGTACCAATGTGTGTGTTCCGAAAAAAGTCTTATTCCATGCAACCTTCTGTCTCCCTTGCACAGGCAAAGGCACAGATTCTTGACTGAAAGTATAAACCTTCTGCCCTTCACCAGATTTTGTACCTGAGCTCATTTGCTACCTCATAAATGAAATGTCATCAACACTTGTACATTCACCCACTTCTTAAAATCAAAGAATTGCCCGGCAGGGGTCTAGCCAGCTTCCTTCTTCCATTAGCTAATGTGTACAGGGTTAAAAAACAAACAAACAAAAAAGTCTTATCGCTTAGAGAAACAGGTGATTTGTGACCAGCAATAGCAGAATTCTTCTAACTCCTGACCCTCCCAGATCTAAGAACAGCTTGTGTATGTACCAGTGTACACTTTTTTTTCTTTCAAGCAGAAATATTTCATCTATTACACAAGCCATAGTGCAAACGTCTGAAATGACTGGTGGAAATGTTCCTTCAGAAGTACTTACATCGACCACAGTGCCACATGTCTTTAGGGAGAAGAGGATGTTAACATGGGTGCCGTTGGACACCCCCCGGCAGGAGGTGTTGGTCAGGAAGAGCTCCAGCCCGCCAACCAGGTCCCTGGGAATGTTCACCTCAATCATGTTTGATTTGCAGGACACCGGGACTGGGGAGGGAGAAGCAGTTATTAGAACCATAAACCCAGGAATGGGAGAGAGGTAAAGAAGACTTCTAAGAGAAGTTATTTCACCTGCAAACAACTTGAGCTTTTGTTCTAGTCTCAAGGAAATCTATAAGGCTCAACATCACATGATGAAACAAGGACTTCTTACTTTGCAGCGCTGTTTGTGGCCAAATGCTCCTCCCATGAGAGGCGCCAAGGTTAGGAAACATTGTGTTCAAGTTTCAGTTCAAGGACCGTTTATTTCCAAGTAAGGCCAGCTTAAATCTAAACACTGAAATACCTAAATACCTGAAGGATTACATTTTGGCACAAACATAGTTCGCTGGCAATCTGGAAAAAAGACTGCTTTGGATAAGAGAAAGAACACATGGAGCGTGCGGGATCCCGGAGGGAAAAAAAAAAAAAAGAAAAAACAGGTTCCAAAAAGAGCCAAGTTCACCCGCAAGTTCCAGATGGAGTAGGCGCCGCATCTCGCCTTCCCCAGATGGAACCCCGGTGACCAGAAGCCTCTACAAACACAGCTCGAGTATGCGGGAACGAGGACTTTTTCTCAAATCTGCCGAACTACACCTCCCAGGTAACCTCTGATTCCGGAAGTCATGCCCACAGCCCGCCCCCCAGCGCCATCTTTGAAGCCGTAAGCATAAGAGAAAGAACACATGGAGCGTGCGGGATCCCGGAGGAAAAAAAAAAAAAGAAAAAACAGGTTCCAAAAAGAGCCAAGTTCACCCGCAAGTTCCAGATGGAGTAGGCGCCGCATCTCGCCTTCCCCAGATGGAACCCCGGTGACCAGAAGCCTCTACAAACACAGCTCGAGTATGCGGGAACGAGGACTTTTTCTCAAAACCGCGCGGCCGCTTACGCGGCCGCGCGACATCTCTCTATATACAAAGTGATCAATGAGAAGTAAACCACCCAATCTTTCTCCCTGAAAGTCAGAGTTAAGTTTGGAGCACGGCCACAGCCCCAGAAACACAAGGACTTAATGCAGAACCCAGCAGCTTAGAGCAGAAAAGTGAAAGGACTATGCGTTAATCCAGGCCATCAAGTCTGCCGGAGGGGAAAGGGTGTTGCCCCATTCGCCCCTCTCTTCTCTGGAAAGAAGGATGGCGGCCGCATGGGAGCCGTGTGGACAGCAGGTATGAGCCGGGGGTGTGGGGGCGACTAAAACCTCATGGGAAGGGGGGCGTTCCGGTCCGTCCTTCACGCCCTACCGAGGTCACCAGTTGCCCCCCACGAGCGGCTCTCCAGCACGGCCACAGCCCCAGAAGCACAAGGGCTTAATGCAGAACCCAGCAGCTTGGAGCAGAAAAGTGAAAGGACTATGCGTTAATCCAGGCAATCATTTCTGCCCAGAGGGGAAAGGGTGTTGCTCCCTTCCGCCCTCCTCCCTCTGGAAAGAAAGATGGCGGCCACATGGGAGCCTTGTGGACAGCAGGTATGAGCCGGGGGTGTGGGGGCGACAAAAACCTCATGGGAAGGGGGGCGTTCCGGTCCGTCCTTCACGCCCTACCGAGGTCACCAGTCACCCCCCACGAGCGGCTCTCCAGCACAGCCACGGCCCCAGAAGCACAAGGACTTAATGCAGAACCCAGCAGCTTGGAGCAGAAAAGTGAACGGACTATGCATTGACCCAGGCCATCAAGTCTGCCGGAGGGGAAAGGGTGTTGCCCCATTCGCCCTCTCCTCTCTGGAAAGAAAGATGGCGGCCACATGGGAGCCTTGTGGACAGCAGGTATGAGCCGGGGGTGTGGGGGCGACTAAAACCTCATGGGAAGGGGGGCGTTCCGGTCCGTCCTTCACGCCCTACCGAGGTCACCAGTTGCCCCCCACGAGCGGCTCTCCAGCACGGCCACAGCCCCAGAAGCACAAGGGCTTAATGCAGAACCCAGCAGCTTGGAGCAGAAAAGTGAAAGGACTATGCGTTAATCCAGGCAATCATTTCTGCCCAGAGGGGAAAGGGTGTTGCTCCCTTCCGCCCTCCTCCCTCTGGAAAGAAAGATGGCGGCCACATGGGAGCCTTGTGGACAGCAGGTATGAGCCGGGGGTGTGGGGGCGACAAAAACCTCATGGGAAGGGGGGCGTTCCGGTCCGTCCTTCACGCCCTACCGAGGTCACCAGTCACCCCCCACGAGCGGCTCTCCAGCACAGCCACGGCCCCAGAAGCACAAGGACTTAATGCAGAACCCAGCAGCTTGGAGCAGAAAAGTGAACGGACTATGCATTGACCCAGGCCATCAAGTCTGCCGGAGGGGAAAGGGTGTTGCCCCATTCGCCCTCTCCTCTCTGGAAAGAAAGATGGCGGCCACATGGGAGCCTTGTGGACAGCAGGTATGAGCCGGGGGAGTGGGGGCGACTAAAACCTCATGGGTCGGGGGGCGTTCCGGTCCGTCCTTCACGCCCTACCGAGGTCACCAGTTGCCCCCCACGAGCGGCTCTCCAGCACGGCCATGGCCCCAGAAGCACAAGGACTTAATGCAGAACCCAGCAGCTTGGAGCAGAAAAGTGAATGGACTATGCATTGATCCAGCCCATCAAGTCTGCCGGAGGGGAAAGGGTGTTGCCCCATTCGCCCTCTCCTCTCTGGAAAGAAAGATGGCGGCCACATGGGAGCCTTGTGGACAGCAGGTATGAGCCGGGAGTGTGGGGGCGACTAAAACCTCATGGGAAGGGGGGCGTTTCGCTCCGCCCTTCATGCCCTACCGAGGCCACCAGTTGCCCCCCACGAGCGGCTCTCCAGCACGGCCACGACTCCAGAACACAGAAACCAATTTCTTAACTATCTGACTTTCAGTAGAAATACTTCCAGGGTCAATAAGTAAAATAGCAGAAATCCAAAACCAACATTTAATTCTTGAACCCAGCTGGAGAAAGCAAATCACTTCACAATGCTTTTTCAGCATGTCTGATTTGGGGGGGGGGGGGGTAAACTCTAAATAATAGTGGTGAATCTTTTATTGAAACAATCTAATCAAAGCGGATAGAGTGTTAACTAGAATTCATCTGCCTCACAGGGACGGGGAGGGGTGGGGGGTGGGGTTTTATTGGGGTTCTTCATGGGAAAAAATAAGTATTGGTAAAGGGAAATGTGTTTGATATTTGCATGACTGAGACATAAACCTGAAAGCTTTGTAACCTTTCCCACAGTGATTCAATAAATAAAAAAAAAAAAAAAAAAAAAAAAAAAAAAAAGACTGCTTTGGTAGAGGCTTAAATTACATAACGGTATTGCTTTGACATTACTGTTAATTACTGTCCCATAAAAAAGGCAATAAAAACACTCGAGAGCTCCAGCTTGTCCTTGCATCGCTCAGTTAACCAGAAGCTCTGAAGATAAATTCCTCCTGAACTTAATATAAGAAAGATGGCATTTCCTTAGTTTTCCATGTCCATTTCTCCGTAGCACAAATACCCTGAAAGGAATACTTATGGATAGTCTCATAAATATTTGAGAACCGTATTCAGACATGAGGACAAACAATAATGGTACTAAAAAATCAGAGATAGGTGCTTTTACAGTGGGTGCTGGGTTAATGAATTCAGATTTTTTACATAATCACTGAATCACTGTATCACTGTCATTCCATTGTTCATCAATTTACTTGAGCGGGCGCAAGTAATGTCTCCATTCGTTCCAACCCTGAGATTTTAGTAGCCTCTTCTTACTTTTTAAATAATATTTAAATATTATTTTTATTTTTATTATTGAAATATTATTTTAAATAACATTTACTTTTTTAAATAATACTTTCAGAAAATCATTTTCAGAGGATTATTGAAATTAAATTGAAATTATTGAAATTTCAATTACTGAAATTCAATTTGTTTTCACAATCTAATCTGATAGAAAAAGGAATTAACTATATCCACGTCTTGGAATATTTTTTTCTGTTCTTTTGGGGAACACATCAGGCTATTCTTGGGCCTCACTCCTGTCTCTTCACTCAGGGGTGACCCCTTTGCAAGGTCCAGGAAACCATCCACAGTGCCTGGGGTTGAACCAGAATTGGCTGGGGGCAAGGCAAGCTCCTTTACTCTGGTACTATCACTCTGACTTCATGCCCTAGACTTCTAAACTGAGTGTTAATTGTACACTAATGGAAAGTAAAGGAGAAAAAGGAAACCCTAACATCCAACATCTAGATACATAGTCACAAGAATAAAAAGCAGAATCTCAAAGATACTGGCACGTGCAAGTTCACAGCAGTATAATTCACAGGAGCCCATGAAAGGAAGCCAACAGAAGCCTGGAAAGGAATGAGAAAAACAAACATGCAACAGACGTAAGTGAGTCCCCTTATAAAGCAAGGGAATCTTGGCATTCAACATGGATGGACCTTGCGATTTATCCAAAGTGAATGTAAGCAATCACAATAAAATGAAAGCCAAATTGTCTAATAGTGTGGCTAAAGCAGCCAACTTCATAGAAACAGAACATAGAATGGTGGTTGCCACTCAGTGAAAACACGGTGGTTACCGAGGTAAGGGGCATGGGGGAAGAAAGGTACTGGATAGCATATGCTTATTTCCCACAAACATACAGCCTAAAGTTCTGCACCTGTAAACAAATGATAAATGCATTAGAATAAAAAAACACAACAATAACAACAAAATAGAATGGTGGTTGATAAGACTTGGGGAGAGGAAGACAAGTGATTGTTGAATGGGTTTAGCTTCAGTCTCAGGAGTTTACAAGGCGCAGAAATTATATATATATATATATATATATATATATATATATATGGTAAAAGTTGAGCTGGGCACTTAAAATGATGAAGATGCTAACTTTGCTCACTTTTTTACTGCAATTTATTTTTAAAGCAAAGGAAAATTCACTTTCTGGTAGTCTTAGGGATGAAAATACTACTTCATGAGAGTTCATGTTCTAAAAGACAAGAATCCAGACACAGTGGGGTAAAGACAGCAGGGAGATTCAGGGAGGGAGGGGCAGAGAGCAGGGCAGGGGTGCTGTCATCCTACCTTGGCATGTGTGGTTATCTTCAGACAGCACCAGGCCCCGAGGACACGCACACTGATAGCTCTTCTCTGCTGCGAGGCAGGAATGGCTGCAGCCACCATTGTTATTGTGGCACCCTTGGATGTCTGCAGTAAAAATGAAAAGGGAAGCAATCCTGTGACTGTCTTCTTAGAGAGAGAGGGAGAGAGAGAGTGGCTGCCATAGAGGCAGGGTGGGAGGAGTGGGCAGGAGGAAGCTTGGAACACTGGTGGTGGCAAATGTGCACTGGTGAAGGGACAGGTGTTGGAACATTGTGTGACTGAAACCCAATCATGAACAACTTTGTAGCTGTGTATCTCACTGTGATTCAATAAAATAAATTAAGAAAAACAAAAAAAATTTTTTAAACAATAACACTGTTCGTTGGGATGGCACTTGACACTGGGAATCATACTCGACTCAACCTGGTGCTATTGGGACTCAACCTATTCATTGAGGTAGCTAGGGACCACCCCATACACATGAACATTTATTAAATATTATAGCTACAAAGAGTAATCTTAAAATGTCCATAGCTAGCACATGTGGCTGGCCTTCAAGTCATGGAGCAAAATTCCTGGTACTAATCTCAGCCATTCCTGGGTGTTAGTCTAGCCACATGTGCTAGGTGAAAAGGAAGCTCAGATAGAGAAGAGAGCACCAAATAAAGGGTGTTGTGAGACCCTCCCAGGGTGGGAGAAGCATGCTAAAAGTAGTCTATAGATCAAACATGATTGCCACTCAAGGCCTCTCTTGCAAAACACAGTACCCAAAAGAAGAAAGAGATAACAAGGGGGAATGCCCTGCCACAGAGGCAGGGTGGGACAGGGGGGATGGCGGGTGGGAGGGATGCTGGAACCCGTGGTGGTGGAGGATGGGCACTGGTGGAGGAATGGGTACTTGATCATTGTATAACTGAAACCCAAGCACAAAAGTTTATAAGTCTATAACTGTACCTCATGGTGGTTCACTAATAAAGGTAAAGGTAAAGGTAAAGGCCCTCCTGTTGATCGTCGATTTGCTCGAGCGGGCCCAGTAACGTCTCCATTGGAGACTTTGTTGTTACTGTGTCTGGCATATCGAATACTCTTGGTAGCTTGCCGGGCTCTCCGAGAAGGGCGGAGGAATCGAACTCGGGTCGGCCATGTTGGCCGCTTGTAAGGCGAACGCCCTACCCGCTGTGCTAATAAAAAAAACCCTGAAAAATAAATTAAGAACACCAAAACCAACAGGGCCTGCCACTGAAAATAATTCAATCTGAATACATAGCAAGTATTTTTTTGAGTGTGTTTTATGGTAGGTAATGGAAATTTGAATTAAGAAATCTGTATTTAGTAATAAGCATTGGACTTTGGTTTCAGAAATTTTACAAATGCAAAAACAACAATAAAATTAAATTTATACAAATGTAAAAAAATGTCCATAGTTATAACCATTTAAGCTGGGTAGGTATTTTGTAGAATGCCCATGAAGTTAGGTCTTTTTTGATGTTTGTTTTTTCTTCTCATGCAGTTTTGGTTGTGGTTTGGAGGAAACCCCAACAAGTTATTTCTTAATGTCTATCAGATTTAATCTACCCAATTTGAAAGGAGACTGAGCATAATTGATATGAAATGTACATATTCAACTGGACAAGCCGGATGGACCGATGAGAGTTACTGCTGACCAGCTGGATTACCTGCATCTCTTTTCACATTTCTGAGAGAGTCTGGGGATCTGTGCGTTGAACATAATACATAAACAAGGTCTGGGTAATAAGCTCAACTCCACTCAGTTGAGCTCTATGACATGGCTCTTATGAGGCAGTCTGTTTCTTTTTTTAAAGTTTTGCATTTTCGGGGCTGGAGTGATAGTATAGCAGGTAGGGCATTTGCCTTGCACGTGGCCAAACTGGGTTCAATCACCAGCATCCCAAATCATCCCCCAAGCACTGCCAGGAGTGATTCCTGAGTGCAGAGCCAAGAGTAAACCCTGAGCATCACTGGGTGTCACTAAAAAAACCAAAGAAAAAGGTTTTGCATTTTCAAAAGCACCTTTAATCAAATGGACAAAAGGGAAAATATTTGATGAAAAATGGGACTACTAGGTGGTTTTAAAGTCAGTAGAGGAAAATAATGACCTTTGCAAGCTCTGGACATTATCATCTAGGTCAGGAGTCCTCAAACTATGGCCTAATATTGCAAAATTGCACATAAATGATATTAATAAAGTTTTATTGGAACACATTCATTATTGCTAAATGGTGCTTTCTTAATACAAGGGCAGAGTTGAGTCGTTTTGACAGTTCTTTTTGGTTTATAAATCCTAAAATATCTACTATTTGTCCTATATAGAAAAGGATAAGTACTTTAGTTTGTTTTTGGAATGCTTAAAACGATATGGAGCAGCATAGAAGAAAATGTAAAAATACTTTGTAACAAAATGGATTAAAGACCTCAACATCAGACCAGAAACCATAAAGTACATTGAAGACAAAATTGGCAAAACCCTCCATGACATTGAAGCTAATGGTATCTTCAAAGATGCCATGCCACTGGCCGAGCAAGTGAAAACAGAGATAGATAAATGGGACTATCTTAAACTAAGAAGCTTCTGCACCTCATAAGAAACAGTGACCAAAATACAAAGACAGTCTACAGAATGGGAAAGGATATTCGCCGAATACACATCTGACAAGGGGTTGATATCAAGGATATACAAAATACTGGTTGAACTCCACAAGAAGAAAACATCCAACCCCATCAAAAATGGGGCAATAAAGTGAACAGAAACTTTCTCAAAGAAGAAATCCAAATGGCAAAAAAGCACATGAGAAAATGCTCTACATCATTAATCATCAGGGAGATGCAGATCAAAACCACAATGAGATACCATCTCACACCTCAGAGACTGGTCCGCATCCAAAAGAACAAAAGCAACCGATGCTGGCACGGATGTGGCGAGAAAGGGACACTCCTTCACTGCTGGTGGGAATGTCCACTGGTTCAGCCCTTCTGGAAAACAGTATGGACGATTCTCAAAAAATTAGAAATTGAGCTCCCATTTGACCCAGCAATACCACTCCTGGGAATATATCCCAGAGAGGCAAAAAAGTATAGTCGAAGTGACATCTGCACTTGTTTGTTCATTGCAGCACTCTTTACAATAGCCAGAAACTGGAAGAAACCTGAATGCCCGAGAACAGATGACTGGTTAAAGAAACTTTGGTACACCTACACAATGGAGTACTATGTAGCTATTAGAAAAGATGAAGTCATGAAATTTATATACAAGTGGTACAACATGGAAAGTATCATGCTAAGTGAAATGAGTCAGAGAGGGATAGGCATAGAAAGATTGCATTCATCTGGGGAATATAAAGTAACAAAATATGAGATTAATATCAAAGAATAGCTGAGATCAGCACCAGGAGGATTACTCCATAGCTTAGAGGCCAGCCGGGCATTCTAGGAGAAAGGGCAGCTCAGATAGAGAAGGGAGCACCAAATTAAGGGTGTTTGGAGGATCCTCCCAGGAGGGGAGATGCATGTTGAAAGTAGACTATGAACTGAACATGTTTGCCACTCAAAGCCTCTTTTGCAGACCCCAACACCCAAAAGGAGAGAGAGAATACAAGGGATTGCCCTGCCACAGAGGCAGGGTGGGATGGGAGGGATGGGGGTGGGAGGGATATTATCCATGGTGGTGGAAAATGGGCACTGGTGGAGGGATGGGTATTTGATCATTGTATAATCGAAACCCAAGCACAAAAAATTGTAAATCTACAACTGTACCTCATGGTGTTTCACTACTACTACTACTAATAATAATAATAGTAATAAATACTTTGTAACAGGTAAACATTAATTGGGAGTTTTTCTTATAAATTAGTTTTTTAGTGAGTTAATTTATCTGGATCTATTTTAGCATTTGCAAAGTGAAGATATTGGACTAAATGTTTACTTAGGATATTTCCAGATCTATAACTATGAAACACAGGTGAATACAATAACTAAGTTAGCTTAAAGAATTTAAGTTTCTTAAGGGAATATGCTAAAGTACTTAGAATGTATATAATTGACAAGTAGGAGTGTGGGTCATTTTAATGATCTCCCTTTTACTTTGCTATGTTTTAGCCTATAAAAACATATTTTAATAACAACAAATTAATAAAAGTACTTAAAAATTTAAAGACATTTAAGATAAAATTCACCAAAAAACTAAAGAAACATATTTTGGATCACAGTAAAACTTAAGGGTTGCAAATATAAACATCAATCCTAATGTGTATCTCATTTGAAAATTTTGTCTTTGATAAAGTATTTTTTAGTTATGAGTATTAGGTTTTAAAATTATATGAGGATTAACTGTAAAAATTCCAATAAAATGCTCATGAGTAGTTACAAATGTTCCATGGGGAACATCTCTTGAATATTCAAATATGCAAAGATAATCACATAAAATAATTAAGATTTAAGGAGGATTCAGAACATTGCCCATTTCAATAAACTTTAAAGAACATTTAGTCTTGTTCACGAGGGATTGTAGTTTAATATTCTAGGTAATGGTGCCCGAGTTAACTTTATAGCATGGCATAAATTGTGTAGACTAGCTATAATTTGGCCTTCTGGGGTAGTATTTATTTTGGATATAACTAGAAAAAGTAAAACCTCATAAGCAGTATTATAGATCTATTATGCCATGTAGTCAATTATTCTGTGGGGGGAAAATCATATGTCCTCTGTAAATAGCAATGACTAAGACCTGAGGGATGACTCACTGGTGAAAGGGGTCTGGCCATAAATTTAATCCCTGGTGCTGCCCTTATGCATTGAGAACAGGCCTCCACTGCACTGCTGGGACCCTCTGTGCTGCGGCATTAGGTAATCTCTGGAGCACTGCAGCCAGCTCTGCAAGTACCACAACTATAAGCATGTAACCCTGGTGAGCCTGGGAACGTGACCTCGGGCCAGAGTGATAGTATAGCAAGTAGGGCATTTGCCTTGCATGCAGCCAATTCAGGTTCAATTCCTGGCATCCCATATGGTCCTCTAAGCACCGCCAGGAGTAATTCCTGAGTGCAGAGTCAGAAGTAACCCCTGAGCATCGCTGGGTATGACCCAATAAGAAAAAAAAAAAGGAATGTGATCTCTTGGTGAGCATGCATGATAGCACCAAAATGAAGAGTGTGAGGTTTCCCACCAGCCCTGGGGGTGTGCAAACACCAAGGCACCACAGTTAAATGCACAAACATGTCAACAGCCGCAATAAAGGAAAAACTAGAAACAATGAAAATTTTCATCTCTTCATGTTACCCACAAAAATGTGCAGCTGTCAGTGGCATGAGATTCAAATTTATTAAATGAAAGTGATGATGATCAAGTGGGGTTCATTCCAGGGAAGCAAGGATAGCTCAACACTGCAAATCCATTAACATCAGCACAAAGACAAAAATTAAATTCATAGGATTACATTCCTACATGCAGGGAATGCTTTTTGACAACATAAAATGGATACAGAAGGAACACATTTCAAAGCCAAGAATGACAAAACCATCCCTAACATTCTAATGGCAAAAAGAAAAAGGAAAGTTTTTTATCTAAGATCAGGCACAAGACAGATTTTTACTCTCATTATTATTACTCAACAAAGTATTGAAAGTCCTAGCCATAGTAATTAGGTAAAAAAAAAGTAATTACAGGGATCCAAATTGGAAAAGAAGATATAAAGCCACAGCTCTTTGCAAATTACAGGCAGTATACACCTAAAACCCAAAAGACGCCATGCCAATGGTTCAACTCCACTGCTTCATGGCTAATCTCTGCAGAGATGCCAAGCAATGAAAATTCCAGGTACATGAATTTAAGACTGAAACTTTGGGGTCTCGTCAGAGTGAGGAAGAGCGAGAGTTGTCCCAGATCTATAGATCCCATAGATCTTGGAGCATGCATGGCTGCCCAACACCTCCAAATTCCACTATACTGATTGACCAGTAGGATCATACCAAGAATGCTGGGAAAATAGCATAAAATCAACTAAGCTCAATAAATAATAACGCAGAAGGCCCGACTAGCAACAGAGAGCTTAGTAAATCCTCAGACGAGGAACTTAACAACCCTGGGTGAGACATGATGGTTTTCAAAAATTTTCCTTCTACTGAAGTATTTTTTGATAATTCCATTAGCCATTTAGTTGTAACAAGCAATATAAAATAAACTATTTTGTGCCTGCTAAGGAGTCAGGCTTGGGGGTGGGGGTGTGTAGGTGCGAAACTGGGTACAATGGTGGAGGGAAGGTCACGTTTATGGTAGGATTGGTATTGGAACATTTAATGCCTGTAACAACTTTGTAAACCTCTGTGTTTAAAGTTTAAAAAGCTCAAAGATATCTCTAAAATGTTATTAGAAGTAATAAGCCAAGAGTAAGGTGACAGGTTATAATAAAATCAAAATATAAAAATCAGTTCCACTTAGATAAGCCAGTTATGAACTAGAAGAGAAAAATAATTGCATTTAAAATTGCATCTACAAGGATTACAACTTAAGTTAAGCTCTTGCTCTCTCTCTCTCTCTGTGTATATATACACATGTATATATACATACTACAGGTAGATATGAATAACTTATACATATAAGCATGTACATGTGTACACATACAGTTAATTTGTTAAAAGAAAAAATAAAAGTATACACTAAATAGGAAAAAAATTGCATCTACAAGGATTAAGTGACCAGAAATAAGCTTAGAGGTGAAATATCTATATGTTGAAAATCATAAATCCTTGTTAGAAGGGATAAAAAGATGATATAAGGAGAGAGTAAAATATCCCATGCTCATGTATTGGGAGGATAAACATGATAGTACTGTACTCAAAACATTATGTAGAGTCATGTAATCCCTATTAAAATCCCAGTACATTCTTTGTGTGTGTATATGGGGGGGGGGGGGCGGGTAAGGAGGGGGAATACACCCAGCAGTGCTTACTCCTGGGTCTGAACTCAGGGAGCACTTCTTTTTTTTTCTTTTTAAAAAATTTTTATTAGTGAGACACCATGAGGTACAGTTGTAGACTAACAAATTTTTGTGTTTGGGTTTCAATTATACAATGATCAAATACCCATCCCTCCACTTCTGATGGGGCTTGGGGACCATATGCAGTACCAGGGATTTGGACTTGGCCATGTGCAAGGCAAATGTCTTAAACCCAATACTATTTCTCCAGCCCCATGTCCCAGTAAATTCTTAAAAGAAAATAGAACAAATGTTACTAAAAATTTTATAGAACCACAAGATATCCCAATTGCCCAAAGTAGTCTGGACAAAGAAGAGGCAACTTCAAATGCTGAAGCTGTTGTAGACTAAACTTTTTGGCATTAGAGTGAAAATACAGACAGATTAATGAAATAGAATTAGAGCCTGACATTAAATCTTCACACATGTGAACAGTTAATTTATGATAAGCCCAAGAGCATAAAGTGCAGAAATGAAAATCTAATAACTGGTACTGGGAAAACTACATGGTCCATGGAAAAGGAAGAAATAGAAGAGACAAATAATCGCTTTTATAATTGCATCTAAAAAGGATTAAGTGCCCAGAAATAAGCCTACAGGAGGTGAAAGACTTATATATTGAGAACCATAAGTCCCCGTTACAAGGGATAATTTATCTCACAACAGGGGTTTTTACTCTAATGCCAAGGAAAACAAAAACAAAACAATAAGATAAATAGGATTATCACTGTCATGTCCTACCGTTGTTCATCTATTTGCGGGCCCAGTAACGTCTTCATTGTGAGACTTGTTGTTACTGTGTTTGGCATATTGAATACCTCATGGGTAGCTTGCCAGGCTTTGCTGCTCAGGAAAGATACTCTCGGTAGCTTGCCAGCTCTCCGAGAGGGGCGGAGGAACCGAACCTAGCTTGGCCAGGCTGGCTGCAAGGCAAACGCCCTACTGCTGTGCTATCGCTCCAGCCCAAATAGGATTATATCAAATGTAAAAAGAAACCATCATTAAAATGAAATGACATTCTACTGAGTAGGAGAAAAGAGTCTCACTGTACATCTGTCAAAGGACAAATATCCAAGATACATAAGAAACTCACAACATTAGTCAACAGGAAAAAAAAAAAACCACCCTAACACATTCATGGTCAGAGAGACAGTATAGGGGTTAAAGCACTTGTCTTGCAAGTAGCAACAACAACAACAAAATCATTTTGCTTATCTCTTCAAAATACAGCACAGATCTACCAAATGCAAAGCAGACGAGGGAAACAGCTTGGATCCAAGAAAGAGATTCTCCAGCTTTGGAGAAGGTAAGACTTACCTATGAAACTTGGTCAAAGTACAAATTCTCTGGCCCCTGTGGGAGAAGGAAATTCTCTGGCGCCCTGGAGGAAGGAAAGCCCTAATGCACCTGGTGATCCTCTTCTGCACAGAATCTGGAGATGGTGGTATTCAACCGCTTACACCTAAGAACCTGCACGTGCCTGCACGCCGGTCCCCGAAAGGGCAGTTAAGAACCACCATGGAAAAGCCTTTGTTCAGCTGCCTGCTCTGATTCCTGGCTCTCTGCTACACAGTTGTCACCACGAAGTTACTTAACCCAAGCACAAAAATCTGTAAGTCTGTACCTCATGGTGTCTCACTAATAAAAATTAAAAAAAAAAAAAAGAGGCACACCTGGGCTAGAACTCCAGCCCACTCAGCCAAAACCTGCCTTTTAAACAGAACCCTAGGGTATTCTTGGGCACATTTAGATTTGAGAAACACAGAATAACTTCATTCTTTTTATTTCCCCGAAGGCAGAAATTTACTCACTGGCAAATAGACAAGTTCTGTCTGCAATATGAATCCATCCTCCATGATGGTGAACCCCTTTTGTCATTGTATTTTGTGATTTTTTTTTTTTTTGCTTTTGGGGTCACACCTAGTGATGAAGTCCTGGCTCATGCACTCAGGAATTACTCCTGGCGGTGCACAGGGGACCATATAGGATGCTGGGAATCAAACCCGGGTCATCCACGTGCAAGGCAAATGCCCTACCCACTGTGCTATCGCTCCAGCCCTATTTTGTGATTTTTTTTGGCGGGGGGCACACACAGCAGCGCTCAGGGCTTACTCCTGGCTCTGTGCTCAGAGATTGCTCTTGGCAGGGCTCAGGATGCCCGGGAGTTAAGCCAGATGGACTGTTTGCAAGGCAAGGGCCTTCCCCACTGTACTACCACTCTTTTGTCATTTCTGATACAGCTATACTCTTGGTCTCTTTTTTTCATTTGGTGATTCTCAGGGATTATTCCTGGCTCTGTTCTCAGGAATCACTCCTGGTGGTGTTTGCAGAACCATATGGGATACCGGGGATCGAACCCATGTTGGCCATGTGTTAGGCAAATGTCCATGTCCACCTCTCTGCTGTACTATCTCTCAGGCCCCTCTTAGCCTCTTTTAAGGGTGAAAAGTTCCAGGAAGGTCAAAGATTAAGCCAAGAGACTCACTTCAGCTGGAGTGGAATCTTTCTCACCTTCACAAGTCTTGCCGTCACTTCTTAGCACACGGCCAACCCCACATGCACAGCGATATGAGTTCTTAAGGTTCACACAGGTCTCGCTGCAGCCACCGTTGTTTTGTTCACACTCATTTTCATCTGTCAATGAGAAAACAGATGTTTGAATACTGCTGGGCCGATGCCGCCCTTTCCCAAGCCCCTTAGTGGAATCTCCACTTCTTTTTATATTGTCTGGTCACACTCAGAGGCTGAGCGACTCTAACAATGTACTTTCCAGGCAGTGCAATGCAGGAAGGACTGAAGTTTCTGGGACTACCCTGTGGTGCTGGGGGCCTCGTGGGCTCTGCTCTGGGACCATTCCACATGGTTCAGGAATGGGGGGTATGTATTAGCTCTCATTCGTATTAGCTCTCTCAGCTGTGCCCTAAGTCTTTGTGCTTCTCAGTTCAGAGACACGAATGTTGTTCACTCTATTTTTTCATATCTACAAGTTCTGTTTGCATGCTTTTTTGGTTTTCAAGTCTGATTTATCTTTTTACAAACTTATTTCCTCTTTCTTATCATCCTTTTTTTTTTAAATCTCAAGAATAAAAAAACTTCCTTATAGTATTGATTTCCCCTTACTACTCTGCTCTCTTCAGTTCAAATGCTCCTTTTATCCTGCCAACTCTCTATCAACAGTGAATCACTTCCTAATGTGGAGTATTTTATAACAAGTTGTTTTCTATGGTCATTGTTTTTCTGTGGAACTGCTCCAAACCTTGCTTGTGGAAGTTTGTGGAACCCCAGTGTAGGGTCTTCAAAGGCCTGTCAGGCCCAAGGAAGGCTTTAAAAGCAGTCTGGGCCTAAGTTTAAGTCAATTTTTTAGCTTCAGCTGTGGGAAAAGTTTAAACTTAGCTGGCAGGGAGGGACTTAGCCTTTCATTTCTAAGGTTTTTCTCTCTCCTAGGGCCTGGGCCCAGACATCTCTTCCTGTCTCCTGGGACCCCGAGAAAAGCTACGGTGGGATGTGTTCTCCTGGTGGGATGTGTTTCCTGGGATTCTGGACAGCTTTTTGTTCCTGCTTATTTCCAGGCATCTGATCAGCCTGATTTGAGTGTGACCTGGTCCCCACACACATGCTGTGATGAAGTCATGATGAATTATGCCTCTCTTTGTGGAAATAAAGGTTTTATGTGATGCCAGCTGAGCTATTATGATGGCAAGAATCCATATCTAAAAAGGTTAGCAATCACTGCTTAAGTACAGTATTTAAAACATATTTTAAGGGAGTCAGGAATGTAACTCAGTGGTGGAACACTATTCAAGGTCCTAGGTAGAACCCCTGGTGTTACTGGGGGCAGGGGGAAGATTTTTAAGGGCAGTTGTTTCTGTTATGGCAGAGTATGTCACATAAGAAAGTATCAGAGGGGCAGTGGGTAAGGCATTTATTTTCCTTTCATGTGGCTGATCTGGGTTTGAGTCCCAGCATCCCATATGGTCCCTGTGCACTGCCAGGAGTGATTCCTGAGTGTAAAGCTAGGAGTTAACCCTGAGCATCACCCAGTGTAGTCCTTAAAAATAATTTAAAAAATAAAGTATCAGATATTTCTGCAATGTAAGTTCCTGTGCTGTATTTAAAGTCCAGTTTGATTTAAGTCTGTATTTTAGCAGATCTTTAGGAACTCATTGGAGAAAGTGAGATGCTATGGCCTTTAAAAAAATATTCTATATGACAATAATAGCTTGGAATGATCACGCTGGACAAGATCTGAGGGTTAAAAGTAGGTAAGGGATATTCCTGATAACATTTTAGCATCAACATTGCAAACCACAAAGGCCCAAAGGGGGCGGGGGGGGAGAGAGAGAGAGAGAGAGAGAGAGAGAGAGAGAGAGAGAGAGAGAGAGAGAGAATAAATACACCTGCATAGTGGAGGGGGTGGGGGGTGATGGGAGGGAACCTGGGGTCATATGCTGGGAAATATATATTGGTGGAGGGATGGGTTTTGGAATACTGTATGACTGAAACCCAATCAAGAACAGCTTTGTAAAAGTCTATCTCACAGTGATTAAATTTTTAAAAAAAGTATTCTATAGTAAAACTTTGACAAACCAGGCATTTATAAGAGAAGACCCTCAGAAAAATAATGACCACAGAAAATGACTTGTCATAAAATACCCTGTGAGGAAATGACTCACTTTCGAGAGAGAGCTGGCAGGATAACTCACAGAAGGCTTTGACTTGGATACAGCAGAATCATGCAGAAAAATCAATAATATGAAGATTAAAAAAATTACTCGAGAAAAGAAAAAATAATGCTTAAGATCAAAGACGTGTGTGAAAAAGCAGAAGTGGAATTGAAAACAAGCAAGCACACAGGGAGAACTTGTAGATTTTAAAACAGAAGATCAGAGCCCGGTCGGGAAGCAGAAGGTTAGCGCCTTCCAGACCATGGGCACAACAGAGCCGGGCCCAGTTTCCAAGCTCTGACACTTACCTCAGCACTGTTTTTCTTTCATGTGTGGGAGAAAGCCACTTTTGCTTATTTAAGCCATTGCTATTTGAGTGTTTATTGTTATTTATAGTCTAGTTATGCTCTAGCAATTCCAATTTTATGGTAAACACTAGAGAAACTATCACACAAGGGGTAATTTATCATTTTAATGTTAATTTTAAAAGCACACGAAATAATTCTATCTATTGTTATGGGCACATCCCCAGATAATAAAACAAACAGGGACTGGGAGAACACATGCTAATCAAAACAGTAATTACCTCTAGAGGGTGAACAGCTTTACTTATATCTGTAAATTTTTATTGAGGGAACGTGGTAGTCTTAAGTCTAGGCACTTGGGTTTACCTGTTACAGTATTTCCTATACTCTTCTCCCTGCTTGAAAAGTACTTAATTAACAGTTACTAATTAGATAACTAGCCTTTTGTCGTTGCCTTGGGGCTACAGCAGATGCTGAGGGACTGTCCTGGCTCTGTGCTCAGGAGTGCCCCCTGGTGGTACTCAGGGACAATGTGATGGATGTTGGGTATTCTAAGTGGGCTCAGCTGTATGCAAGTTAACCCCTTAACCCCTGTACTCCTTCTTGGGACCCAACATAGCTTTCTTTAAAGCAAACAAACAAAAAACCCCAATCAAACAAACACCCTCTCCCCCCAAAAAACCTTAAAGGAAAATTGACATATGGCACCTAAGAGCAAACTTTGCCTCTAAAATTAGTGATCTCCCTGAGAACACCAGTCACACCTCGGGTGGGAAGGAAGGAAGGATTTCCATATCACAGATGTGCAAGATATCCAAGTTTTTTAGTTTTTGGGGGGTGCCGAACCCAGAGGTGTTCAGGGCTTACTGCTGGCTCTGTGCTCAGGAATCATTCCTGGTGGGGCTTGGGGACCATACAGGGGGTGGCAAGTGAGAGGGGTGTGGGGGAGGGTAGTTTGGGGGTGAGTGGGAGGAGCTTAAACCTTATGCAAGGCTAGTGACTTATCCCTTGCACTATTACTCCAACCCCCAGGTAAACTGTTAAGCAAGATACATGGACAGTGCATACAATAAACAAGCTTTGGTTTAAAGGGGGCAATAATACCTATCTTTGCATTTTTATATCTAACTGAGAAAACTCTGGAAGCACAAAAAGAAAATAACGCAAGAGCTTTCTTGGGACATAGGTAGGAAAGAAGGAGCAAACCGGGAAAAGAAAGTGAGGCAGTCATCTAATTTACTGTTGGTAACACAAATTATTCAACACTGTCAGTTTTTTTTTTCTTTTTGGGTCACACCCGGCGATGCACAGGGGTTACTCCTGGCTCTGCACTGAGGAATCACCCCTGGCGGTGCTCAGGGGACCATATAGGATGCTGGGAATCGAACCCGGGTTGGCCGCATGCAAGGCAAACGCCCTACCCGCTGTGCTATTGCTCCAGCCCCAACACTGTCAGTTTTCTGAATAACTGAATCATCTCAGTTTTTATTAAAATTAAAAAAAAAACATTAAAAAACCAAGGGCCTCACACATGTGAGGCATGCAGATTATCATTGAGCCACATCCCCAAGTATCAAGTTTAAATGAAGATTCATTAAAATTATAATTCATTTTTTCAGTCCCTCTAGCCCTGTTCCAAGAATTGCAGGACAAGCACAAAAATTGGTAAGTCTATAACTGTACCTCATGGTGTTTCACTAATTAAAAAAAAATAATTGCAGGAGGCCAAGCGATAGTACAGCAGGTAGGGCATTTGTCTTGCACATGGCGACCTGGGTTCAATCCCCAGTATCCTGTATGGTCCCCGAGCACTGCCAGGAGTAATTCCTGAGTGCAGAGCCAGGAGTAAGTCCTGAGCACTGCTGGTGTGACCCAAAAGCCAAGCAAATAACAAAAAACCCAAGAGCTGCTTCCCCCCCCCACAAAACAAGAGACTACTCATTGGACAGCCTGATTCCAGACTGTTCCTAGGCAGTTGGTAACACTTGCTCTGATGTTTTCCTTATGAATGGCACAAACAAACACCATTCCAAGGGTTCAGAGACACAAATGGGAAAACAATGGGGCTTGGAGTCCAGGAAGAGATTTTGATTTGGCTCCGTGACCCTCACAGATTCCTTGTACTTCAAGGTGAGCTGCTTACCCAGGCACGTCTGCCGGTCGGGGCCCAGCACGGTTCCTGGCGCACATGTGCACTCACTGGCCTCCAGACAGCCACCGCCAGGGCAGTCCTCATCACAGATGTCATAAAAGTCTGCAGGAGAATCAAGACAGCTCAGGAGAGGCCGGGGCCAGAGGACACTTCCAAGCAAGAGAAATTCTCATCAGTTCTATCATGGGCAATGGGTTCCGGGCCAACACCAACAATTCTCTGTTGGCAGGGTTTTTATAGAACCCATTCTGCCCCAGGACAGCTCCTTTCATTGAGATCGATCATTCTCAACTCAAATCCAAAGGCCTTTACAGGATCAGAAATGTTCTGGCCATCTAGAACCTCAGGAATCAGGAGCTGATAAGTGTTATGTCCTGCCTTTCTGTGGACACAGGGTCCTACAAGGTTATTCATTCTGAAATTCATTTTTAAGAAGGCAAAATATTTACATAATTGGAAGAGAAAAAAATATCAGAAATTCATTGAAAAGAATTGCTGATACCAAATACCTTCTTCCCATTATATAGCATAAAAAAAAATCATTGGGCACTCAGTACAATGCTACATCTGAAGGCCTTGTATATATCTGGGAAGGGGGTTCTCCGGCCCCCTAAAAGTTGGAAATCTACTATTTGGATAAACTAAATTCAAAATTAAGTTTTCTGATATTTTGTTTGGGTAGAATGAATAATCTGTGATTAGGGCGACTCCTGGGGGGACACAAGGAACTGAGCCTGGGATGGGACCCAGGCCTCCAGCCTGCAAAGCATGCTTGCTCTCCCTCCCCAACCACTGAACCATCTCTCTGGCCCCCTACTAAATCTCTTTCAGAACTCTACAGCCAGATGGCAGAAATCGCAATCTGGTTGGTTCCAAATCAGTTAACCAGAATTTCAAGATACTGCTGCTGTAACTCAGTTCCGCAAGGTTCTTTCCGCTGACTGCTTCTGAGACCTTGGGCTGAGGGAAATGTGCACAGGCGAGGTACTCACGACCACAGTAGACGTGAAAGCAGACGCTGGGCTTGGTCAGACGGTACACATAGTAACCCCCGAGGCAAGCCTTGACCTCCACTGTGGTGTTCCAGAGACAGCAGTTGCCGTTGAAGCTCGCACACGCCTGGCGCTGCACGATCCCTTCTCCTTCCCGGGGGTGGCTGCCATTGAGCCACATGGGGGCATGGGTGCCACAGTGGTTTTCTGGGATGCAGAAGGTGGGCATGGCATCTCCTGCCATGCCGGTGAAGCGGTACCATTCCCCGTCCACGTGATTATCACACAGCGGTGGGCCTTGAGATTCATCTAATTGGTGGTCCGTGTTCCTCCAGGGCTCAGTCAGACTGATGTAAGCAGTGCAAGGATCCAGGGCTGGGAATGAAAGTGACACTTCATGGTTTCCTGTCTTTGATTTGATTTGGGGGTTCAAAAGAAAGAAGTTATCTGGGGCTGGAGTGATAGTATAGCAGGTAAGGTTTTACACGAGGCCCACCTAGGTTCAATCCCCAGCATCTCATATGATCCCCTGAGCACTGCCAGGAGTGATTCCTGAGTGCAGAGCCAGGAGTCAGTCCTAAGCACCACTGTTTGTGGCCAATATGGAAAAAAAAAATGTATTAAAAAATAAAAGAAATTATCTAAACCCCTCCAAAGAGTTGTTTAATATTCTTTGGGTTGACAAATATATACCATAAGTGTGTTCTAGAAAATTATTTCAAATCTAGTTAAGGTTTAGTGTTAGCATCACACCCAACCTGTTAGCTATAGTAATCATTTGAGAAAATGAACACATGACAGTAAGGGGCTCGGGAGGTTCTGGTCAGAGCGCTGTGCTGGTTAGACTGAGTACCTGGAGGGCGGGGTAGACTCTGCAGCTATGGGTTTTTGTTTGTTTTGTTTTGGATTTTTGTTTGCTTTGTTTGGGTTTTTGTTTGTTTTGGAGTCACACTTAATGGTGCTCAAGGCTTACTCCTGGCTCTGCAATCAGGAATCAAGCTTGGCAAGCCTGGGAGATTATTGTGGTGCCAAGAATTGAACTCCAGATCAGCCAAGTGCAAGACAAGTGCTCCACCCACTGTATTATCCCTCTGCCCTGCAGGCTATGCTTTATAAGAGTAATAAAAGAGTAAATAAAGGTGATTAAAGTAATAGACAAATTGGGTCTACTGGACATTAACTGAACTTAGAAGTAACTCTCAAAATTATTCAATTATTCAAAAAGCTGAGAATTGCAGTTTTGAGGGGGTGGGGGAAAGACCAAAGAATATCAGTTTTCAAAATTCTGGAACAGATTTGGAAAAGAGGAATTAAGCATTCTATTCCAAATTCAAGATCCTGTTATGGGGAAATACATTTCAGTTCAGCTATCCTCTAATGTCCGGAAACTTTCAAAAACCATTTGTGTGGTCATTTGTAAGCAAAATTATAGATAGAATTTTATAGTAGTGGAAAGTTTGATGTGATAATGAATGTGGAAAGCTCATTCCACTGAAAAGAAAGAGGCTTTGGGCACATGTCAACAGCTTTAAAATACAGTGTACAAGAGGTTATCTGAGTTATTTCTAAAGTAAATTGTGGTACCTATTGCATGAGCTTGTTGAAAACATAAAGATCTTTGTGTATTCACGATTAGCCAAGGCATTGCTATCTCAAACAGGGGCAAAGTTTCTTCAACTTGCTTTTTTAGTGTACTAATTACGTGGCTAAACATCTCATCAAAAACACTGATTGATTGAAGATACCAATGTTCCCACCATTTTGAGAGAGAGAGAAATAAGAAAAGTGCCTGCTATAGAGGGGGGCTGGCAGGTGGGTGATGGTGTTGGCGGGAGGGAAACTGGGGTCATTGGTGGTGGGAAATGTACACTGGGTGAAGGGACAGGTGTTGGACACTGTATGACTGAAACTCAATCATTGACAACTGTGTAACTGTGTATCTCACAGTGACTCAAGAAAAAAAATGTTCCCAACATTTAATTGCTTCTTTCAACTTAAGTGAAACACTAGATTACATAGGCGAAATGTCCTTATATAGTCTCTAAAACCAAGACCTTCTAAAAAAGGAGCACTGGCTAGAGAGTATTTTCCTTCTTAATATACTTGGGTCTGACTTATTGACTTGTAGCTTTGAAGCACAGGAAGTTCAATTTTTTAATAAATACTGCACAAAAATGAAATGTGGATGGGAAAAGATAAAAAAAATCTACATTCTTATATCTAGAAAATATATTAGCTTTTCCCATCCTACTTTCCAGACTCAGGTTTAAACTTCAATCAGCCCATGGGGGTGGGCTTATCCTTCTGCTCATGGCACTAATGAGAATATGGTAGCTCAGGAATTAAGCAGGCAACTGCGTTATTTCTGGAAACCAGTATTTGAAGAGTTGCATGTGGCAGGAGCAACTCTCCTTGAAAATGTCCTTGAGATTTCATAAGTGAGCCTTCGACCAGTTTCAAGTCCCTCCAGGGGCAGAAATGGCCTTGAGTAGACTCTGCCCCTCAGAATGGAAAAAGCCCTTCATCTGCTCTCGCAGCTTCAGCTCTTTCAGGAAGCAAGGTTTCCAAGGCGAGTTTACAGGTGATTATAAATTTGTAGAAATATTTGATTTATCCTCTTGGCTCTAATTTTATAAGTGAAATGGTTAGGCCATCAACTTTTAATGGCTTTTACAGAAATTTTTAAACCTTCCTCAACAACTGTTTTATGATTTAGCAAGTCTTTTCCTAAATCTAGCAGAGATTTTTTTGGGTTATCTGTCAACATTGACTTCTTGCCTGAAGTAGGGGAACTCTGCATGGACAGGAGAAAATTTCTATCACGCTACTCCACCCCACCCCCAAGGCAGTCATTCACCCCTTTACTGTTCTAGTCAAAGGACTCAATCCCTCTTTTCCACTGTCACCTTGGACCTGGCATTTGGCACTGCTTATATGTGACGGTGACGGAAAAGCTGAGGTTAGTTTTCTTTTCACAGTGGCTCTCAAATGGGAGAGCTCACTAGGACCAGGGAATCCTCGTCCAGCTCAATTCCGAGCTTCTGCCCCAGCCAGAGAACTCTTCAGCTTTATTAGGATTCCTGACTGTGCTCATCCTCCCCCAGACCCCCTGGCAGGCACCTCTGCCCCGCCAAGAGAAGTACCACAGCCCATGTCCCTGCCCAGCCCATCTGCCCTTGCTGAAGGGTACAACTAACTTCTGAGCCACACTGGGTCTGGGCATCTCTCCCTCCCTCCTCTCCCATCCCCTCCTTTCTTTTCCTTCCTTCCCTCCCACCTTCCTTTCATCCCTCCTTCCCTCCTTCCTTTATTCCCTCTCTCCCACCCTTCTTCCTTCCCTCCTTCCTTTGTTCCTTCCCTCCCTCTTTCCTTCATTCCCTCCTTCTTTCCCTCCCTCTTCCCTCCCTTCCTTCCTTCCTTCCTTCCTTCCTTCCTTCCTTCCTTCCTTCCTTCCTTTACTTTGGAAGGGAGAAGTGAATGGGAGGGTAGAGACAGTAGGAAGAGAAAAAAGGGGAAATGGAAATTTGAGGGGAGGGTGACATTTGTTTAAGCAGCTCTTGGTTAGTTACTGGCAGTAGATACAAGCTGTTTAATTAAACTAAAGCCTATTTTTTAAAAGGCTATTTTTAAAAAAAGGAACAATTTTAGATTTAGAGAATAATTGAGAAGAGAATTAGAATTCCCAGCTACCCAATACCCAGTTTTCCCTACTATAAAATATACATTGGTATGGTGATACAGCCACCATCAGTGAACCAGTGTAAGCACATTACTAACCTACACCCATAGTTTATTTAGAGTCCCTTAGCCTTTACCTCTGTGATTCTCTGTTCAAAGATTCTATCCAGGACATTCCATTTCACTTATTTTTCATGTCTCAAAAGGTCTCAGGTCTATCTTAAATGTGTATCGATGATGGGTGCTAGAGCTTTATTTATAATAACCAAGACCTGGAAACAACCTGTGTCCAATGCCAGATGAATAGGCAAAGGGGAATACAGACATAATTGAACACAGCTTAGTCATGAAAAAAGTCATGCCCTTGTTACAACAATGGATGGATCTATAGAGGTTACATTAAATGAAGTCAGTCACAAGGGAGAGATAAACACTGGATGACCTTACGCCTAAATGGTATGTGAAGAACCAACTCCAGGGGGTAGACAGTCACGGAATAAAGGCTTAGATTCAGAGTGGAGTTTCCAAGACTGGGCTGCGAGCCTCCTGCAGTTGCGACAGAAGGATTCAGGAACTTTGGGGGTGGCCTGTCATTGTAATACTGGGCAATATAAGTATACTAAAGTATATATAACTTCATACTCTTGTAAAGTCAGTGTTACCCCAATAAACACAGTCATTTATAAAAATAAGTAAATAAAGATGGTAGAGAAAGGCCTGAGGTCCCCAAGAAGCAGTACTGGTCAATGAAATACTGAACTATTCAGAATACTAAGAAGAATATTTCTCTCCATCTCTACTTCTCCTCACCCTTTCTTCCACTGAGGACTTAAGTTCAACTGGAAAAGGAAAAAAATTTTAGGAACTAAATTGGAAACTTTCCTTTGCCTTGTTGGCCAGTTTTTCTGCCAAGCTGAAGAGGGAGACAGTTTAATTTTTATTCAGTCTGTGCAAAAAGTCATATTTTTCAGACAAGAAATTGGGTGCAGTCAGACCTGCCTGACATTGGGGACGGAAATTTCAGTTCCTTGTATTCATTTTAAAACAAACACCATTCAACTCTGTCAATCCTCAACTCTAAAATGTATTATTATTGTTTTCACCTTTAAAGTTGGAACTATAAAAGTGCCTGGAATACAAAAAGGTTAGAATTCTGTCCACACATACTTTTTAACAGATTTTAGCTGGTAGAAATGTCAGATTCATGGAAATTTTGGTTGCCCAGGCAAGAGGCTAAGTAGAACACGAGGCAGAAATTCTTCAAAAATATATCTTCGTAGGTCATTTTTCTTACACTATTCCAGAACCAGTATTTAGGATACTGGAATGTAACACTTAATAATCTGTATGTAATAGCAAACCCCTTCAAGAAGAAATGCAGTGTGCCAAGTCCTTGGCACCAGACTCACCCACTGGGGACAAAGGTATGACTGTGATGATGAAACAGGTGAGAGGCAGAAACTGAGGCATCCTTCTGGCCAGCCACCAGCGCCAGACTGATCCCTGTTTTCCTTTGTCTTCTTTTCCCAGAAAACCTCTAGGTTCTTCTAGGGGAAACTTCTCAGTGCTTTATCAGAGGAAAAGGCGAATTAGGATAAGCTGTCCCCTGCTCCGGCCGTGACCCCAGAGAGGGTTGCTTCTCACTGTTAACGGGGCTATTTTACAAATAACTCTCAGGCCCCAAACCTCAGCACCCCTGATTCTCCCATTGTTCTCACTCAGAATTCCCTGTGATGGGACTCCAGTATCTTATCAAGGAGGGAACTCTCACTCTAGCGGGGACATCCTTCACGTCAAGTCTTGTTTGTGACTTCTAGGAACTGATTCCATGATGTTGCCCCCGGGGCTCTGCAGACTCAGGGAGGCTTGGAATACCTCCAGATATAGCCACTGCTCATTGGGCAGGATCTTGGAGTCCATAAGAGCATGAAAAAGAGCAGAGAGATCAGGTGTGAACAGGGATTTTCTCTTGAAGCAAATGTATAACTTTGTTTTACTATGGGCTTTGGTCTTCAAAGAAATTCCTACCATTTAAGTTGTGCTTTCAAAAACAAAAAAATGTTCAAATTAGGTAGTAGGCAATACTTTATAGTGTTTTACCTCACTTTAATTTTTAAAATCTTATTTTTATTAAAAACACTGTGATTTACAAAGTTGTTTACAATAGTCATTTCAGATATTTAGTGTTCCAACACCACCAGTGTGACCTTCCCTTCACCAATGTCCCCATTTTCCCTCCTTTTTCCAACCTTCCTCTTTAGACACACAACAAATTACTTTAGTTAATTCCAACACTATTTTAAGAAATGGCAAACATATTGATCAGAAAATGTATCAGTAGGGGCCAATTTGTGATTACTATGATTTTAACTTATGTAAATAAGGAAAACAAAACATTTTAATACAATAAAATAAAATGTTTCTCATTTACACATGTAGGTTTTCTGGAATCTAAAGCATATTGCATGAAATTTTCATTTATATTTGGATCTCATTGCAGTAAGAATCATGCCTTACCTGTCATTAATAAAACTTTTAAAGATATTCAATGCGAATATATTTTGGAGTTTACCTGAAGTAGGTAAATTATATAATAAAATAGGTAAATTATATAAATTTTTCCCCAAAAACTTTGAAGTGAAACTTTGTGTTCGTAATTTTCTTAATTCTCACTATAAGGGGAGGTACTACAAAGGATGAGCTATTCATTCACAACGCTGAAAAATAAGAGACAAAGTTATTAGAGTTATAACCATGATTAGAGTTAAAACCAAGAGAAAGTGCCACTCTGTAGCCAGAAACGGAGTAATTACAGGCTCAGAGTGTGTCAGCTCATCAAATTCTGCCAAGGCTGGTGACTGAAGAATCAGCAATCCTGGTTTCTGAAGGTGATATGAAGGACAAGAAGAGGGGCTGGAAAAGGTCTGGGTTCGTTCTTAAATGTCACATTTAATTAAAGTCTGTATAGTGACTCAACACTAAGTTTAAATGCTACATTGCGAACCTGCATGAAACCGAACGTTTTCTCCTGGTCTACTTTTCTTTTCCTAATAACTAACTTAATAGTGACTGGGGAAAGACTGTTGTATTCACTTTAGGACAAGTCTCAAAGCTTGTCTTCATAATTTTTTAAAACTTAAAAAAAATTTTTTTTTCCTGACCAAATGAGTGTGGTTCCTTTTCTCTAAGGGCCTCTATTCAAAAACATGAGTGCTTGCAAGGGCTTAGGGACCAGGCTGTATTTTCACAGTGGCTAAGGGAAAAGATTCACCCAAAGCAGAGAGTGGACAATCCAGCGAGGGGGTTCTAATGACCTAACCCTGGGACCGGGAGTTTGCTCAGGGACTAGTAACCACAGGCAGTTTGACCACGCATGCGCTTACCATTCTGGTGCATCCTTGCCGGCAGCAACGGGTAAACCTGGGACTGAGGAAGTGGCTCAGTGATGCGAAGTGTCCCTGCTCTTAACAGAAGGAACATACATCCTTTGCAATTTCCTGCTCCAGAAGCCTATGTGAGCACGTCAAGCGTGCGACGGAGAAACGACATGGGCCTGAGATAAGGCCAGCTCTGCTGCCAGGATGGATTGTTCGGGTCAAGGCCTGTCACCGGATAACCCTTTGGTTCTGTAAACAAGCCTTCCCAGGGTGGTAGGATTGTTTTTTTCCTATTTCTATTTTTCCCTTTTTAATTGACCTGCTCTGCCATTTTAACCGTTTAGGATGAAAAATTTCAAATGCCCAGAAAAGTAGAAAAGATAGTAATGTATACCCAACTTTGCAACAATTTAACAGTTTGTTAATCTTATTTTTCATCAGTATGTATTTCTAACTTAAACTTTGTGTTGGGGCCACACTTGGCAATGCTCAGGGGTTCCTCTTGGCTCTGTGACCAGGGATCACTCCTGGTGGTGCTATAGGAGTCATACGGGGTGCCAGGGATCAACCGTGGACCAGGACCATGCAAGGCAAACACAGTGCCCACTGTACTACTGCTCCAGGCCCTGTGCCCTTTTTGCATTTTTTAAAAAAATATAATCATAATGTTGTTCTGGAGCTATAGCACAGTGGGTAGGGCACTTGCCTTGCAAGCAACAGACCCGGGTTCGATTCCCCCATCCCTCTTGGAGAGCCCAGCAAGCTACCAAGAATATCCTGCCTGCATGGCAGAGCCTGACAAGCGCCCCGTGGCATATTCGATATGCCAAAAACAGTAACAACAAGTCTCACAATGGAGACGTTACTGGTGCCTGCTTGAGCAAATCGATGAACAGCGGGAGGACAGTGCTACAGTGCTAATCATAATGTTATTTTTTTTGCAGGGGGCACACCCAAAGGTGCTCAGGGCTTACTCCTGGCGGGCTTGAGGGACCATATAGGGGACTATGCTACTGATAGACCAAGTCCAGTGCTTGCCATATTCAAGAAGAGAATCTGACCCCTGTGTTTCCACAAAAAGCATACTTTCACAAAATTCATATTATTTTAAAAATAGGGGTCACCCCCAGAGGAATTCTGTGGTCCTTAAGGTCTAACTGAGGACTGCACATACGAGCACATTCAGTATCATCTAGTACTCATTCCATAATTAAAATTCCCTAATAATTTTTCTTTGCACTGTCGGTTTGAGTCAGGATTCAAACAGGATTCATCCACTCTATCTAGTTGTGTCTAAATTACCTTTAATTTATAATGGTCCTTCACCTGACCCTCCCCCAGCCCCTGCCCCTGCATGCCATGTGTTGAAGAAACCTGGTCATTTGTTCTATAGGCATTTCAAATTCTGGATCTCTGAATGCTTCTTAAGATGTCTTTTACACTCTCTTCTACCTCACTCAATGTTACACTTAATCGTAAATTTTGTTTCATATTAAATGTTCATGTTTTCTTCTCTTTCGAAAATATGTGCTATTGAAAAACAAAATTGACCTGACGGAACTTTGATGGATGGAATTTATGTCCAGTGGGGAAAGCTGAAAATAGATCAGTTAGCATGTGGATAAGCCAGTCTGCTGTTTAGCAATGATTTGAACTAGAATAACAATAATAATTTGAGAGCTCCTGGGAAATAAATGATGGCTGAAATAGGGGAGCAAATGATTACACCAATGGGAAATAAGGCGTATGCATTGTACTCATGCTTCAGCCCAGGTGTCAGGTAGGTTTGGGGTCTTTATGTCTTTATGTAAGGGAAACAAAAGCAAAAGTGAACCAATAATGTTAAATCAAACTAAAAAGCTTCTACACAGTGAAAGAAACTATTAACAAAAACAGTCAACACACAGGGGAATGTTTGTATGCTATACAAACAAGAAGGGGTTAAAACCTCAAATATACACAGAACTCATAAAATTCAACAACAGCAAGACAATGCTATTAATAAATAGGATTGGGGGTGTAGTGATCTGGTGGGGGATCACTACCAGACAAAAGGACGGACACTTTTCCATAGAAGACGCACAGATGGCCAAGAAGCACATTCATTATCTTTTTTTAAAATTTTTTTTGGGGGGTCACATCCAGTGATGCTCAGGAATTGCTCTTTTTTTTTCACGGTGATTCAGTTTTTTTAAAATTTTTATTTATTTTTGACTTTTTTTTTTTTACAAGTTTTTGTGCTTGGGTTTCAGTCATACAATGGTCGAGTACCCATCCCATCACTAGTGCCCATTCTCCACCTCCACCAATTCCAGTATCCCTCCCACTCCCCTATCCCCCATCCCACTCTGCCTCTATGGCACGGCACTCCCTTTTGTTCTCTCCTCCTTTTGGGTGCTGTGGTTTGCAGAAGAGGCATTGGGTGGCAATCATGTTTGGTCTAGAGTCTACTTTCAGCATGCATCTCCCGTCCTGGGCGGATCTTCCCACACCCTTTATTTGGTGTTCTCAGGGATTACTCTTAGCTCTGCACTCAGGAACCAGTCCTGGAGGTGCTCGGGGACCATATAGGATGCTAGGGATCAAACCCAGGTCAGCCACGTGCAAGGCAAATGCCCTACTTGCTGTACTATTTTTTTTATAGCAAATATTTTTGTTACATTTAATGGGATTTGCTTTAAAATCAATTAAGCATTTGGATACAGATAATACTTTAATAAAAAAAAAGGTATGCCAAACGGTATCCAATAAAATAAGGAAAAATTAGTAGGGAAGTCTTTGAAATAATGCATTTTTTCTTTTTTCCATAATTTTATTTATTTTTTTCTTCTTATATTTATTGAATCACTGTGGGAAAAGTTACTAGACTTTTAGGTTTAAGTCTCAGTCATACAATGATCAAACACCTTTCCCTTCACTAGTAATCATTTTTCACCACCAAGAACCCCAATATACCCCCCTCCCACCCCTCCCTATGCCTGTGAGGCAGATGATTTCTATTTAACTCTTCTCTACATTGATTATATTCATTATTTCAACAAAAGATGCACCATTATTATTTAGAATTCCCCCCGAAACAATCAGAATTGCTGAAAAGGCATTGTGAAATACTTTGTTTTCTATAGCTGATTATGAGAATCATATAATGTCATGTGGCCGCTATTTTGGATTTCTGCAAAGAGCCAGATAATTACAAGATTGGTTTTATTGTGTCTAGTGTTATGGCTGTGTCAGAGAGTCGCTGTGGGGGGGGGGGCAACTCATAACCTTGGTAGGCGTGAAGGAGGAGCCGGTACCACCCTCCTTCCCATGAGACTGCAGTTGCCCCGTCACCTCCGGCTCAGACCTGGCTTTCCTATAAGCTCTGAGCCGGTAGCCACCTTGCTGCCAGTGGGGGAAAAGGCAGAAGGGAGCAACAGAACTCATAAAATTCAACAACAGCAAGACTTTCCCTCCCAGGGAGGCATGGCGCCTTCGTTTAACGCATGGTCCATTCACTTTTCTGCCGCAAGCTGCTGGGCTCTGGACTAAGTCCTTTTGCCTCTGGAGCCATGGCCGTGCCAGAGAGCCGCCTGTGGGGGGCAACTCATGACCTCGGTAGGGCATGAAGGACGAGCCGGTACCATCCCCCTTCACATGAGACTGCAGTTGCCCTTTCACTGCTGACTCATACCTGCTTTCCAATAAGCTCTGAGGCCGTGGCCACCTTGCTGGGGGGGGGGGGAGGGGAGGCGAAGGGAGCAACACCCTTTCCCTCCCAGGGAGGCATGGCATTGTTGTTTAACGCATGTTCCATTCACTTTTCTGCCGCAAGCTGCCAGGCTCTGAATTAAGTCCTTTTGCCTTTGGAGCCATAGCCGTGCCAGAGAGCCGCTCGTGGGGGGCAACTCGTGACCTCGGTAGGGCATGAAGGACGAGCCGGTACCACTCCCCTTCCCATGAGACTGCAGTTGCCCCGTCACCGCCAGCTCATACCTGGCTTTCCAATAAGCTCTGAGGTGGCAGCCACCTTGTATGTGGTCCACATGCATTTCTACCAAAAGCCACTGGGTTTCAAGATTTGTTTCTGAGTCTCTGGGATCATGGCCATTAATCAGCTTGATCAGAAGCCAGAGAGGCTGTTTGTAGGCGGCGACTCGGGGTCTCGTTGGGATGGGGAGGAAAGGGCTGGTTCCACCCCCATCTCGTGAGGCCCCATGTGTCTAGTCACTTTAGGCCCAAACCTGACTGTCCAGTGGCCTCTGGAGGATGGCAGTCACCAGGCCGCCAGAGGGAACAGGCCAAGGCATGAAACCTATTCCCACCTGGAGTGGTCCAGCGCCAGTAACCTACTGCAGGAACAGGATGTATTTCTGCCAAAAGCCTTTGGATTCCGAGATTCGTTTCTGAGTCTCTGGGATCACGGCCATTAAACAGTTTGATCAGGAACCAGAGAGGCCTTGCCTCCAATTATATAGCTGAGCCAGAGGTGGTTTGTGGGTGTGTCTCCCACATACCTAACTTTTGGCCGTTTACTTTCTTGGTAAAGTTTGTCCCAAGTTTTTGGGGTCTGGCCAAAGGCACAGCAGCAATTTTGGGGTATCTGAAAGTCTGACGGTGCCATCAGGCTGCTGATGCACTTGCCTCACAGGTACAGATTGACCTGCTAGCGGCACCATACCCCCACCTACCTGATGTACTATTGCTCTGTCCCAAGTTCATTATCTCTTATCAGAGAAGTGAAATGCAAAACAACACTGAGATTTCACTTTGGTCCTGTGAGAATGGCCATTATCACAAATATAAGCAACAAGTGTTAACAAGGACATGGAAAGAAGAGAATGCTGGTATAATTGTTTGGTGGGAACATACATTGGTAAACTATTATGTAGAACAGTGCTGAGATTCTGCAAAATATTTAAAGTAAAAATTGCATATAATTCAGCTATTGGAATTCTGGGTATCTGCCTGAAGAATATCAATTCAAAGAGCTATTTGTACCTCAATGTTCACTGAAGCATTGTTTACAACAGTCAATAGCTAAATGCAACCTAAATGCCCATCCACAGATGATCAAATAAGTAACTTGTGAAATATTTGTGTGTGTACACGCATACAATGGGATACTACTACTCAGCTGTAAAGAAGATGGAATTCTGCATTCTCCAGATGGAATCCCGGTGACTATGAGCTTCTACAAGCATGGCTCTGGCATGCAGGTACCAGGACAGTTTTTCTGAACTGCGGCAGCCACTTACGCAGCTGCGCGATATTTCCTTATATGCAAAGTGATCAGTGGAAAGTGAATCATCCAGCATTTCTCCCTGAAAATCAGGCTTGAATGGTGGTGGGAAAATCTGAGCAAAAGATAATGCCCAACCGAAATGCATCTGGACTGTGGTGTGCTATGCCACCCTGGGATGGGAAGGTTGTCTGTCCCTCTGCCTGTCCCCCTCTGCGGTGGTGACATGGTGTCCTGCATTTTTTAGAGCCTAATTAACAGCCAGGTATGTGACTGCATTGACGAGGCACGTGGGGCTTCATGGGATGGGGGGTGGAATCGGCCCTGCTCCTCGCCATGACAATGCTCCGGGTTGCCACCCTCAAATGCCTCCTCCGGCTTGTGACCGACCATGAACCCATACTAATCTCAGAACCCAGGGGCTTCTGGCACTAATCCCTCTAGGTTTATTACTAAAATATTAGAATTACAAATTTGCGTAGCCGTTATTGTGGCCACACAACATCATATGCTCTTCATAATCAACATTAGAAAACAAATTTTCTAATGATACCTTTGTGGCAGGTCTGAATGTTGGGGAAAATTCCAAATAACACTGGTGGGTCTTTTGTCATAATACTGAATGTGATCAACAGAGAGAGAGAGAAAGAGAGAGAGAGAGAGAGTGTGTGTGTAAAGTGAAAATCTGCCACACAGGTGGGAGGTGGGTGAGAGGGGGGTATACTAGGGTTCTTGGTGGTGGAAAATGTGCACTGGTGAAGGGACGGGTGTTTGATCATCGTATGACCGACCGAGACTTGAACTGAAAGGCTTTGTTACTGTTCTCACGGTGATTCAACAAATAAATAAATAAAAAAATGTATATATATAAAGAAGATGGAATCCTGTCATTGACAACATAGACGGAAATATGTTAGTGAAATAAATCAGATGAAGAAAGACAAACAGCATATATATGATTTCACTCCAATATGGTACATAAAGGAAAAAACCACAAGCTTTTAGACTAATGGTTGCTAGAAGGGAAGGGAGGAAAGTGGATTGATTGGGTAAGAGGGGCTGATTGGTAAAAGTCAGAACTGAAGTTTTAGTGGTGAACTTCATGGAGCAGACACAGATGTAGATTTGTAATGGTGCACACCTGACATATAGTTTTATAATGCAATGTTGTTTGATAACTGAAAGCTTTCTTGGTTAAAAAAAAAAACCAGCCTCTGGGAACAGAGATTCATTTCATAAAGGTATTTTAATAAAACTTTTAGAAGTGAAAATGCTTCCCACCTGGATTCACAGAAAAATACATTTTTTGATTGCTGATTTCTTTGGGTTTTGTTTTGCTTCAAAGAATGAGATGCCATAGTTCAAAAATTGAATAAGTATTTATTGTTCCAGAAGGTACACTTTTTTATACATATTTCATAAATGATACAGGATTTTACACATATTCAATATTTTGCTATTTGTTTATAGGACTTTTCTCCCTCTCCCTTGCCTCCCACACACCCCCTGGAAGTATTTACTCATTGCACTGTGCTGTTTCTTCTTAAAAACCCGGCGCACAAACAGGATAAATGGTTTAAAAATAATTCACACAACTTAACAAAAATATAGAGGGAAGGGGTTGAACAAACGGGGAAGTGGGAGGGCTGGGTCGGGGGAGGGCAGGAAGCAGCCGAGGGCTGAAGGGGGGACATGCAACCTCTCATTTCATCATGCCAGTGACGGGCGGGTGGGCGGGCGGGCGGGGGAGCAGCAGCATTGCGATCCTGGCCGGCCTTCAACCCCTGCAAGGCACCTGGAGTCTGGGTTTAAGTTTTTCTTTTCATACACAATGATCCCAAAGGGGGTGGGGGGCGAAGAGAAAGAAGCCTTGCCACAGGAGGGGAGGGGGGAATCGTGTGAAAGAAGCCAATCAGCGGTGTGGCGAGCCCCTGCTGTCCTTTGGCATCCTGTCCCCGGAGTCCTTCAAAACAGGATATTAGACAGAGACTCCTTTGACTCTTTAAGTGCCGATGGCATCTGGAAGTATGATGACAATAATAATAAAACATGTTGACAGAATATAAGATTAGTGCTTTCGTTTAAGACAAGAAAGAAGAGAGTGATGAGCACTGGTCAAAGGAGCGGCAGCCACGAGCGAGGCCAGGCCCGGAGCCCTGGAGCCACGCACTTGATTGGCAGCGCTGGGAGCGTATCTTGGATGAGCGAGCGGATTAACAGCAAGGAAATGATGCAGGTTCTGAAACGGCTACAGAGCCATAATTTTTAGCCATTTTGTAAACCTTCTCTCTTCCTGATTTGGTAACTCAGCTGAACACGCCCTCCCCCATTTGAGTTGTGGAAGAAGGGGGGATCCTCAGGGGGATGGACAGATAAATAAAGGAGAGAAGTCCTTCCTCCTTTCAAAGATTAATTCGTCAAAACAAAACAAAACAGAAAACCTCATGCAGTCTTGCCAATGATTTCTAGATACTGATCCAGAGCACTGGAACACACAGATATTTTAAAAAGTATGAAGGGATAATCTAAAGTATCAGTTATCAAACAGTCAGAAGTTGGCTCCAATTATCAGATGGCTAAAATCAATGTCACCCACAGAGGTGGTCAGCGATGGGCACAGGCAGGAGAGACTCCTGCAAACTCTGCAGGGCCTAGGTCTAATAGAAAATAAGTGCTGCTGGACCCAGAATCTGCCACCCACTTATCTTCAGGATTTGCTTTTCTGATATATTCAATTACTCTATGTCAAAAATAAGAAAAGTTAAATAAATAAAAAAAAAAGTAGAGCAGAGTGGGGTGCTGGTGTGTTACTGTTTTGCTGACCCTGCAAAGAAGATGCAAGAAATGAACACCCCCCACCTCCGCCCCCGGCATCGTTTTCATTTTTTGAATCTCTCAGCTATATAATTGAATCATTTTTCATTCGGAAACTGAGATGCTTGATTAAGACAATGTTCACTAAGCCCTTGAAGCTTTTAGTCCACAAAGCCTGATCCTTAGATTTCGCCATTTCCTTCTTCCCTAAGATCCCTTTTATTTGTATTTTCTAATTAAAGGTTAAGACCCCTCTACCCCACTATGGCAATCGTTAGCGACAGGCATTCTTCCCGCTGGGGTGCAGAGGCTCCGCGCAGAGATCAATCCTTGTCACCGATCTGACGGAGGGGCAGATGTACTTGTAATGGATCTCTCAGTCTCTTAAGGTCCATTTCTGCCTAAAATAGAAGTTGAAGGTGAGAAAACCTGGCCATGAAGTGAAAGTTCTGGTGATACTCCTGTCTCCTGAGAAAAGTAAATGATCGTTTCTCCATCACTGTGAGTCAGAGGAATCATCTCAATTACTCTCAAAATACTACTCTGCATTGCCTCGGAGACGAAAGGCTTTAAAGACCAAAGACTACACAGGGGGAACACAAAAAGAAGTCTGTCTTTGGCTGGTGCACTGTCCACAGAGGCTCCAGAATGAACTGTCTAACCAGTGGGGTAGCAACAGGGGGTCTGGTGCGGACTCTCAGAATGTGGGGCATCTGGCACATCAGGACACGATTTACCTAAGAGCGGGCCTTTTCCGACATTTCCTATTCACTAGGCCTACAAATCAAACCATCGCTGATGGTACAGCATAATGATATTCACATCATAACTATCATCCTGAAGAACACGCCCAGCTCTCCAATGTTCAAAAAGTGATGCAGCCCCTATAGGGCCGTGGCCTGCAGCCAAGGAGCTGGGCTCTGGAGAAGCCTTTGCCAGAACGCGCCTGAACTTTCATTGATTTAGTGGATCAAGATATCAGCTATTTATCTAATGTGAGTGAATTTTAGAAACAGGGCTGTGGAGTCAACTGCTGTGGAGGAAACCCACACAGGCACAGGCCTCAGGTCTGTGATGGAATGAACTGGCTGGGGGCAGAGCTGACAAGTCTGTGTTTTTATAGCTCCAGTGAGGATTCTCAGTTCTCCCTCTAGTTAAAAGCCATCACACATGGCTTCAGAAGACTGGAGTCCATTTGACCTAGCTAAGGAGCTGGATTAAAATACATTGATGCCTGTGGGGACCACCAGTGGCTCACTTGCATCTGGCAGTACTTAAGTCTAATTAAGGCTTTTCGAAGCCCAAACTGATCAACTGCCTTCTTGGGACAGGGAGTGCAAGGAATGCCCAGAGAAGAACAATTCACACACTAAAAAAGGGTGGCAATTAAATGCCAGAAAGAGTTAAAGGTAAGGTAAAGGTAAAAGGCCCTCCCGTTGATCATCGATTTGCTCGAGCGGGCCCAGTAACGTCTCCATTGGAGACTTTGTTGTTACTGTGTCTGGCATATCGAATACTCTCGGTAGCTTGCCGGGCTCTCCGAGAGGGGCGGAGGAATCGAACTCGGGTCAGCCATGTTGGCTGCGTGCAAGGCAAACGCCCTACCCGCTGTGCTATCGCTCCAAGCATGAAAATGCCACCAAGATGGGTCTGGGACTCATTTTATTTCTTTAATACTTACCTGAGCAATTGCATCCTTGAGTTGATTGTATTTCTCTAGGTCAAAACGTGACTTTTTGGCTCCTTTATGGAAAAATAATAAGTATTGTCTGTCTCTGGCTTCTGGATAAACATATTCCTTCAAAAGTAAAGGAGAAATAAAATTCTTAGTCCTTAACACACTATCTTTACAAAATAAGCATTTAATAACTATTGATTAGCATATATATATAGATATTCACTGACATGCAGTGGTATTTCTTTAAATTTTTATTGTGAGGCATGTATTAGAAGAGCAAACAAAATAAAAATGTACATCACAACTATCATCCTGAAGAACACGCCCAGCTCTCCAGATTGAAAAAGAACACTGCCAACAATCCGTCCTCAATGACCTCTCCTTTCCCACAAAAGTAATCATTACCTTGACTTTTATGTAACTGTTTTCTTTATTTACAATAATCTCACTTAAACATGCATTCCTCTCAGCTCTGGTCACGTTTCCCAGCTTTTTGAATTATATAAAAGTGGAGTCATATCATTATGCTTTTTACCAAAGCATGGCTACTTTTACTCAACATTATGTTCATAAGAGTCTTTTTCTGTGTGCAGTTATATCCATTTGGATTATTATATTATTGCAGAATTATGAAACAATTTATTCATCATACTACTGATATAATGTGTTATTTATTGTAAACATGCTGCCAAGAATATTCTTGGTCTTACATTAGTTGCATATCTATGAGTGGAAATCCCTTATCATAGGATGATGTCCACGTGACCAATTGTAAGAAGTGATATAAAATAGGCCCCCAAAATGACTGCACCAATCACACTCCCATCGGCTGAATATCTGCACTAGCAGCACTCCTTGCCAATATTTGATATTTGAGATATTGCCACTTAAAAACACCAGCTTTTCTGAGATGCACTTGATTTGACACAATTCACTCAATTAAGATTATTTACTTTTTTTTTTTTTTTGGTGTTCTACTTCGGAGACATTTTTGTGTAGCCCCATGGTAAGTAGGAGGGAAAACCCTGGGGTAGTTACACAAAGGAAGATGATAAACACAAAAAAGGAGCAGCACAAGAAATAAGAGCAATGAATCTACAAGATAGCCAAGGAACAATGAACAAAGTGGCAGTAGCCATAAGTTAAAGATGAGCTCGGGTCTCTAGAGAACGCACAGAGGGAGGTTTATCATTATAACCGTACAAGGGCAGCCGTTAGAGGTTTCATTCCTCAGCCCAATTATCTCACTTATTTCATGAACCCTGGACCACTCTCTCTCCAGCTTGGCCCTTTTAGGTTATCAGGTGCGGCTCAACAACCTGACCTCTCATTCTTTTCCTCTCTAATCAGCAACCTTCCTAGCGAACAAAGCACACCTGCATACCAGGTTTACGACTGTTTCTTCAAGTCCTTGTCTGACAAAGCCTGCTATCCTGTTAGCTCTCTACAGGCAGATGTCTTTCATGTTTTGCATGACTACCCTAACTTTTCTGAATGGGGATGACCTGCTCATCATTGTGCCATGTAAGACCTAAGGAATTATTAATGATCGACAATGGATGAATAGCAACTAAAGGAACATCAAAAGGGAAGACTTGGAGGCTGGCCAGAGGGATAAATGTTGGGCTAAAAATTTGAAGAGGGGCCGGAGCGATAGGACAGTGGATAGGGCATTCGCCTTGTACACAAATGCATATAAGGGTTCAATCCCTGGCATCTCATAAAGCACCACCAAGAGTAATTCCTGAGTGCAGAGCAGAGTCCTGAGAATTGTCAGTGTGGCCCAACCAATTTTTTTTTTGAGGAAAAACATTCCACCTTCTTCTTTTTTTTTGGGGGGGGGGAGGGTGGGCCATATCCCACAGTGCTCAGGGACTACTCTTGACTTTATGCTCAAAGGTCACAGCTGATTATGTTTTGAGGGAACATATTTGGTATCAGGGACCAGATTGGGGTCTAATGCACCCAAGGCAAGTACCTTAATCGGAAGTCCTCCACTGTCTTCCAAATTGCTATAATGAGGCTGCTTACTGATCTTTATTTAACATGTAAACTTAGTATGTTAAGTTTAGTATGCTTACTAAGTTTATTCAAGTCTATCCCATACGTATCCACTTTTTTGAAGACAAGTATTTACTAAGCAACCATGTGTTAGACTCTGATTTAGAAATTCACTGACTTGTTAATAACTAAGATGAGATGCAGAGAGCCCGTTGCAAAGACAGGAGAATCAGAGATGAAAAGACAAATAACATGGGGAACAAACAAATAAATGTAGTAAGATGCTGGAAGAATTTTCCTCTTCTGGAACAAGGGAGGTGCTAATTCAGAATAGAGAAAAGTCATCTCCTATATGAGTTTGAAGGAAATTGTGTGAAATTAGAAGCAGACATTGCTCAAGACACAGAACTCAGGAATTAGAAAGCCTGTATTTCAACTTCAACTTCATTTCAACTCCTAGAAGTGGGAGGCAAGGTTCTGTGTGAGCTCGGGATCTTAATGTGAAGTCTTACAATTACTACCATGGAAGCTGAGAGGGAAAGAAATGGCCTCAGGAACACAAGCAGCATCAACTCCTCTCTCCTGATTTTTCTCTCAAAATGCCGAACATCCTGAACATGGGATAAATGGGGAGCTCAGCTAGGAGGAGTGTACAAAGTGCATATAAGGGAGAGAGGTTGTAGAATATGGAGAATGACAATAGGGTAGGAGTTAGATAGAAAAACAACCTACGAGGAAAGTGTAAATAAAAAGTTGAGAGAGAAGACAGAGTCAAGAGATCTGGATGAGAGCAAAGAGTGGGTAGAACAAGTAAGTAACGGTCTGAAAAGAAAAAGAAATGATTTTCTTAAATTAGTCTGCTGACTTATATTCCAGGTAGGAAGTTCTAGGACTGGTGAGGTTAGTGACTCTGAAAGTAACCTGCTGGGGTGAGGGTTGGTTGCTGGAACGAGGAAATGAAGACAGCAGATGAGTTTCTTCACAGAAATGATGATCTCCTTAGGCTGCCTTTTATAATGTGTTCTGCTGCCTTTTATTTTCTCCATCCCACCAAGTGAGCTTTCATTTATGCATTCTGTTTTGCTTTTTTTCGGGGGGGGGGCACACCCAGAAATGCCACACATAGTGGTGTTCAGGGCTTACTACTGGCTGTGCACTCAGGAATCACTCCTGGAGCTTGGAGGACCATATGGGGTGCTGGGGATCGAACCCAGGTCAGCCATGTGGAAGGCAAATTAACCCTGCCTGCTGTACTATCTCTTCGGCCCCCTTCTGCCTTTTAAAATGGGTGCCTCTCTTTCCCAAAAGGCTTAATTTCACAGAAACGCTGTATCTGCTTATTGGTATTACAGCACCTATGAAGTCTCTACTGCGCGTTTTCACCATCTCAAGCGGATACCTCGTCCCTTCCACTGAGGGGTGGTGTTAGATGGTGGCCCACATGCATTCTGGGGCTATTCCAGTGGCCACTCTTACATGCTTTGCAGTGCCCAATGTACCGTATGTGGTGCCAGAAATCGAACCTGGGTCAGTCACATGCAAGGCAAGCACTTTAACCATGCACTACCTCTCTGGCTCATTTCACTTGATTTTTAGATTTCAAGGAATTCATTATTTTACAAAGATTCTTTGGAATTTAATATACCACTGGATTTATTTGGGTTGCTAAGATATGCAGCATCTTGTAACAGTTTAGTGGAATTTAAATGCTGAACAGACATTTTTGCTTCATGGATGCTAATTATCATACTGGTGTGGAAAAGAAGATTTCATAGGAGAAATTCTCCATTACAATGTCTTTAGTCAATGTTTTTCTACTTGTGGGTAATGTATTCACAAATTGCTTACTGCTGTGGTTTTGTAATGTATCACTTGGGGGCAGCAAGAATACTTTGGGAACCAGAAGAACATTTCAATGGCAGGATAGTGAGATGATTCAAAATAGAAAGCACTGTGTCAGGCAGCAGTGGAAAATAAACGGCAGTTAGGGCTGGGAGGCAGTTCAGTAGCATGCGGTGTACACACAGAGCCCTGGGTCTGATCCGCAGCACTGCAGCACAGAGTGGATCCCACAAATCAACCACCAAAATAAACAAAAAGCCCCAATTTAATAATGAATATTTAGCCTCAAAGGATACAACAAAGGGGATCAAAGTGATAGTATAGTGGGTAGGGTGCTTGCCATTCACATGGCTGACCCGGGTTTGTGTCCCAGTACACATATGGTCCCTGAGCCCACCAGGAATGACCTCTGAGTGCAGAGCCAGGAGTAATCCCCGATAACAATCGGGTTTGTCCTCCACCAACAAAACACCAAAATCAAGCAGAGACATCACAGTACACTGGAGAGGAAAAGACACACTGCCTAAGTAATAATGATGATGATAATAACATAACAAGATAGAGCAGGATGAGTGAAATGAGAGGCACAGCATGTCAGGAACTCAAATGAGAGAGATCAAAGTGGGCTGTCAAGAACTGGTCACAGGTTCACAAAGGAGAAGGGTTTAAGTAAACCTTAAAACACGGCTGGGACAGGCTAGGATGAGCCTCATCCATGAGTGAATCTACTGAAAAACCCAGGTATGTAGGACTTGTGACTGCAATCTCCAGGCTTGCATGAAGTTGGGAATGGGTGACCTCCCCCATCTCCCTGTGCTTCCAGTAGCCTGGCAGGCATTCTCAAGAACTGCCTCTCGTGTCATACAAGCTCATTAATGGCCAGGATCCAGAGACATGAGTGCAACGTGCTGTCTCCGGACCCCAAAATCACCATCCAGTTAAAAATAAATAAGTTACCCTCACTGTATAACCATATTTAAAAATTTAGAATTCCTGGAGTGCATGGCCACAAGTCTCATACTCTACACCATTGATGGACCAAAAGCAGCATACCACATTGATGGTGTGTAAAGTAGAAGGCAACTAATCTCAAGGAGAAAAAAAAAATATATATATATATATACACACACAAGCACACATAGTTCAGCCATAATAAGCACTGTAGCACTGTCCTCCTGTTGTTCATCTATTTGCTCGAGCAGGCCCAGTAACGTCTCCATTCATTGTGAGACTAGTTTTTACTGTGTTTGGCATATCAAATGCATCATGGGTAGCTTGCCAGGCTTTGCCATGCAGGCAAGATACTCTCAGTAGCTTGCTGGGCTCTTTGAGAGGGGCAGAGGAATTGAACCTGGCTCGGCTGGGCTGGCGGCTTGCAAGGCAAATGCCCTACCACTGTGCTATTGCTCCAACCCCATAACAAGCAATACAAAATAAATTATTTAGGTCCTACTTTGGGGCAGTAGTTTGGGGGTCAGGGTGGAAACATCCGAAATACAGTGGTGTGAAGGTGTAATGGTGGTGGGATTTGTGTTGGAATATTAAATGTAATTTAATTATTCTGAACAATTTTATAAAAATAAAGTAAATTAAAAAAACACAGCTGGGAGTCCTCAACAGGGAGAATTTACACAGTTGACAGAATGACATGAAGGAATGAAATGGTGGAAGACGGATTTGGGGGAATGCAGAGTATAATCTGATTTTTTAAAAACACAGTACAGACACAGAATGGTTGAGGAATATTCGGAAATAAACAAACAATCAGCAACCAGTAGTGAGCATCAAACTAAAGAGTCTGGAATAAACAGATAAAAAATTCCATGAAAGGGGTGTAGATAGAAGGGACAGACACAACCATGCTGACACAGGTAATGAAGCATGAAGGATCTAGGTGTTTGGTTTTGTGAGTCATAGGAACCAAACATGGATTAGGTGCTGGAGACTCCGAAGATAAACCATTTACTCTCTTTATGAAACATGTTTGGGAGATTAAGCATAATTCTTGGGCTTCCATGTTCCCACAGAGATTGATCTCTGGTCACTGATATAACAACAGAAAGAAAAAAAAACCCAACCCTCATGTTCAAAAGCAGAGACCTACAGATTTCTTCTGATGCCCAAGTAATCAGAGATGAATCCATTCTTCTCAGCTATTTTGGGTTCCCATGTAAGGGTGTGCTAGGCTAGACCTGTGGTTGTACATCTTCTATAAGAATGATTAAGGATGGAGTGATAGTACAGTGGGTAGGGCCATAGTACAGTGGATAGGGTGCTTGCCTTGCACATGGGCAACCCTGGGGTTTGTTCCTGGGCATCAATATAGTCCCCTGAGCACCATCATGAGCGATTCCTGAGCACAGCCAGAAGCAATGCTTCAGCACTGCTGGGTTTTGCAACCCTCCACCCCTGCCCAAATGATTATAAAGATTATAAATGCCCTCTATTCTTTTTTTTTTTTTTGTGGGGTGGGGAGCTGCATCTGGCTGTGCTCAGGGCTACTCTTATTTCTGTATGCTCAGAGTTTACTCCTGGCAAGCCTTGGGGGACCACATGTGGTGCTGGGTATTGAACCCAGACTGGTTGCAAACAAGGCAAGTGCCGTTTAACTACTGTCTAACTAGCTCTCGGCCCAAATTCTCACTTTCTAAAGTGACCCTATGGATTTTCAAGCTACTTATAAAGTAGTACTGCAACAAAAAGTAGTTCTAAATTCTGGTATTTAAGAAATAACCTTGATTGATAAAGAATAGTCCAAGATATAAAATAACCAGATATCTAATTTTCAACTTTCTTCCATATTGTAAACATAGTAACAACTATTCTCTTAATGCAGTGCAGGAGTAGCCCAGAGCTTAACTATTAAATGTTAGTTATCATCAACTCTCAATTTGGAGAATAAAAATAAAAAACTTGAAACTATGCCATCCAACTGTTCTACAATAGATAAAAATGCTAGTTAATTTAGCTGAATGAAGATCCCCATAGCTGTTAGCTCTATTTTTCCCTGACCTCTTATTCTATAACTTACTGTAATATATTTTCCCCTGAATTTAACAGCTGATATAGTCTGAGAGCAACAACAGCTGTATCTATTGTAGCAGCCAGAATAATGCCTGGTACCTCACAGGCATACATGAGTTTGTGTGTGTGTGTGTGTGTGAATACTTATAGGGGACTGATAAAGAATATGAGATAAGAGAGAACTTTGACAACCAAGACATCTCAAATAAAGTTACCTGACGCAAAAGCCTTACCTGGCGTGTCATTACAAAATAAGCGTACATTGCCATGGCACTTCCGTAAGTGATGAAGTAGGTGACTGGTTCCATGATGTCCCAGGAATATTCCCACCAGGTCAGGCGGGCTAAAATGCCGAACTGTGTGGCCATGTAGGCGAGTCCACCCCATAGTACCAAAGTGGTCCTCTTCTCTGCTTTCCTGCTAATCTCAATTCGTACCTACGGGGCACACATCAGCTATCAATCACCATGCATTTGGGCATAGACAAATTCAAAATTCTTACTTAAACAAGAGTTTGATATGCTCTAAAACAAAACAAAACAAAACAAGAGAGCTCAGAATGAAGATTCACACTGGTACGAATTCCAGTAAACACAGCGTGTCCTCTTACACAGTATAGTACAGTTGTCTTTTGCACCTTCTGTTAATTGTAGGCATGGTGGTTTACAGTGCGGTTAATGGCAGGGTTTCACGTACAGCATTCTAGCATTGCACCCTTACCGAGAGTGGGGCAGTGAGACAGTCCTAGTGTCCCCCTCATTCTAATTGTCTTCCCGACCCTCAGTCCCTCTTCTAAAGTACCTGTAGTTTTTGCTGTAGATATACTTTTTATTTTTTCTTTCAGGACACTTGTATTTATTTTCAGAGGTGGCCCAAATATGATTAAACTATGGAAATGAATTGTTTCTTAATCGAAGACTGTTCTTTACTAACCACAAGATTACTTTCTTGGAAAAATGAGAATGAAAACACCCAGTGTTCTCTGTACCATGCAAGAACATGCCGATCTAGTAACAGCTCATACTCCAAGGAGTACTGCACTTGAAGCAGAATAGCACACTGCGTGTGCATGGACACAGTGGATGGACCCTGATGTTATGAACAGTTGAAACCAGGTCTTGATCTGCAAATCTCCAGCAACACCACTGATTTATTGTGAGGAAAAAACATGAACACAGGTAGAATATTTAGCATGAATTCCTGGCATACAGTAACTATTCAGTAGAGGATGATCATTACTTTGCTATTTTGTTAAATGCTTATATTTTGAAAACACCAAATTTAAGTATCATCTCCTTTCATAATCATCCTTAAATGTATGACATAAGGAGGTGCGGTGTTTCCCAATAGTGCTCAGGGGTCCCGCTCAGTGATTCCCAGCCAACCCGGTCTGTGGCTCAACACAAAAGCCCCAGGCGTGCAGCTGCTTGAATCCTATGGTGCTGGTGGCAGTGCCAGGGGTCACCTGGCCACACCTGGTGGTGTTCAGGGGCCTTCAGGGATTCACTCAGTGATGCTGGATTGGCCACAATTGCATCTGACCAGACGTAAGGCAAGTGCTGGACCATGCATTTTGGTCTATAATTTATTTCATTTCTAATGTCTTAGGTTTTAGGAGCACAACCTTGTGTGTTTCTTATTTTTAAGGAAAAAACATAATACTTAGGATTTTTTTTTATCTTTCTCAATCTCCATAGTCTAATTCTTAAAATTGAGCTATTCGTGCCATTATTCTACATAAGAATGACTCAGGGCGGGGGCAACAGTCTAGCAGGTAAAGCATTTGCCTGTACACAGCTGAACTGGGTTTGATTCTCAGTAACCATTATGGTCCCCTGAGCACCCCCAGGACTAATTCCTGAGTGCAGAGCCAGAAGATACCCTGGAGCACCTCTGAGTATGGCCCCCAAACAAAACAAAACAAAACAAAAACCCATAAGGAGGACACATATTCAGAGGAAAACATTCAGAATAAGTATGGTAAAAAAGGTAAAGGCCCTCCCGTTGTTCATCGATTTGCTGGAGCGGGCCCAGTAACGTCTCCATTGGAGATTTTGTTGTTACTGTGTTTGGCATATCGAATACATCATGGGGAGCTTGCCAGGCTCTGCCGTGCGGGCGAGATACTCTCAGTAGCTTGCCGGGCTCTCCGAGAGGGGCGAAGGAATCGAACTCGGGTCGGCCATGTTGGCTGTGTGCAAGGCAAATGCCCTACCGTTGTACTATAGCTCCAGCAGAATAAGTATAAAGAAGAAAAAAAATCAATCACAATCCTACTACTCTATTAGCATTCTGGAATATATTCTTTCTTATTTCTCTCTCTCTCTGTCTCTCTCTATATATACACTTGTATTTAACTATATTCAAACCACATTTGAAATTAGGTATGGCTGGCTCAGTAGTGGAGTATAGGCTTTGATCCCTGGCACTGCCAAAAAAAAAAATCACAGTATAATTTAATATGTGCATATTTTTACATTTACTCTTTATAAGTTATGGTTTTGTATAGCATGTTAGATCTACACAATTACTTTTAACAAATGCAGAATATTTCATATAAAAAATTTCTATCTTGGATCAGAGTGATAGTACAGTTGGTAGGGTATTTGCCTTGCATGTGGCCAACTCAGGTTGAATTCCTGGCATCCCATATGGTTCCCTGAGCATCTCCAGGAGTAATTTCTGAGTGCAGAATCAGGAGTAACCCCTGAGCATTTCTGGGTATGCCCCCACCTCCCCCAAATATAAAATTTCTATCTCAGCTAGAATCTTTATCTACTATACCCCAAACCTTTTTTGTAAAACAATATTGCAATATCAGTTGTAAAGGTTAAAGCAAGTAGAGGAGAGAATGTTTAGACCTTAAACCTCTAAATTCATGATCATTCTCCAGACTATTTCTTCTTACGTCCTTTCTTAGCTTTGACTGGACCTTTTTTATGGTTCAGTCCCCAAACAAATGGGTCAGTTTGGTTGACAGGGGGTATCTATCCTAGAAGCAAAGTTGTATTTAGTTGACACAAGTTGTTTATGTAAAACAGCGAAAGAAGAAAATAAAAGCAAATATATGATCTGGAGGAAAAAAATTCCTGGTGAAATGAAAAGTCAGCTTTGACCCTGCACCTTTTCCAGGGGTGCCAGCTGCTCTTTGAGGTGCTCGAGTCTCTCGATGAGCTCCCTCTCCTTGTTTAACTGGTGCTGCTCAATGCACAGTGTGGTGTATAACTGCTGCACCAGCGTCTTCACGTCATTCAGAGTTGTTGCATTTTCATGGCTTAAGAGTTCTGAAAGGAAAGGGTGACATTTTAGAAACTGCTATTCCTGGGGTTACTTAAACAATGAAAAGAGCAAGGCAGAATCATCAATTCTATGGGAAATTAAACTGAAGGAAAGCGATACTTCCTCTTTACAGGGGGATATCTACAAATTCTAGAAGAAAAGTTGTATTTGGTTAACTTGAAAATTTTAAAACTTATTTTCATCATCATAGTCTTAAAAGTCTAAATGCTGGAATTGAGGTCACAATGCACAGCCTAACAATACTCATTACAAAGACAAAGATTTAAAGCAAAGCACATATTAAAAACTAGATGAGAAGCTCAGGGTAGGGGTTGGGCGGGCTGAGCCTGGGCCCTCCATGCACACTATGACCCCCTGAGCACAGAGCCGAAGATCCAAACCACCCCCTTACTCAAAGAGATAGAAAACTAGTAGAGTTTTAGAACCCATCTAATTATCAGAATTATTAAAATGCTAATCTATAATTTATCTGTAGTCTTGCTATTTTAATTTGTGGTATTTTTTTTCTTTGATAACTGAGGTAGTGGTGGGGGAGGGTATTTTGATTGTGCAAATACAAAGGTTTACGTAAAAATACATTTCCCTAGGAGCTGGAGCGATAGCACAGCGGGTAGGGAGTTCGCCTTACACGCGGCCAACATGGCCGACCCGAGTTCGATTCCTCCGCCCCTCTCAGAGAGCCCGGCAAGCTACCAAGAGTATTCGATATGCCAGACACAGTAACAACAAAGTCTCCAATGGAGACGTTATTGGGCCCGCTCAAGCAAATCGACGATCAACGGGAGGGCCTTTACCTTTACCTTTACCTTTACCTTTACATTTCCCTAAGAATCTTAGTTTTCATGGACTTTCCCCTAGTATATCAACTTCTTATGTGTGTACTGGGGAAAGACATGGCATATCTGTAGGGACCTTAACACTACATTCCAAAGGACATGGTGTCATGAAAATGTTTTCAAGGATAAAAGACTCAATTCTTTGATTTGATATCCTGGATACCATATGTTTCCCAAGACCTTAAAATTGTGTTTTGAGAATCCCCTCACTGCCAACAACAACAAAACCCAAAACAACCTGGTGATAGTGATTGTTAAAGATTAAGTGTCAGGAATAAAATGTTTGTTTTAGAATCTTACTGCCTTAAATGTGACATATTTTAAATAGACAAAGCATAATAAAAAAAGCTACTGTCAGAATTGGTCACATATATAATACTGTAGCACTGTCCTCCCGTTGTTCATCGATTTGCTCAAGCGGGCCCAGTAACGTCTTTATTTTGAGACTTGTTACTGTGTTTGGAATATCGAATATGTCACGGGTAGCTTGACAGGCTTTGCCATGTGGGCGAGATATTCCTGGTAGCTTGCTGGGCTCTCCAAGAGGGGCAGAGGAATGGAACCCGGCTCGGCCGGGCTGGCTGTGCGCAAGGCAAACGCCCTACTGCTGTGCTATCGCTCCGAGCAGGGTCGCAGCCTCTGACCCTTACATTACATTGAAGGTCCTTTTGGCCAAGATTCACCAGTATGGGTTCCTAGGTCTCCAGTGCACCATTTCCCACCGAAGAAATCAATAAATCAATACAAAACTTGAAATAAATGTAGCAAATTGGATTAGAGAAGAAATGCTATGATAAAATAGTGATTTTTAGCAGTATCTTGCCTGTTCTAGTATATATGCTGGAAAAATAGGAAAAGAGAAAAATGCTTTGAGTTCTAAAATTTATCTATGGCAATGGGCCTTCTCTGCCCTCCTATTTGCAGTGACTCTTCATACTTCGTGAAGCTGCCCGGAGAGAAAACTGTGTTAAGAAGGCAGCAACTTGTCTGAACATCGCAGTGAGGACAAAGGCTACTCCATGGGTAAAGGACACATCTCCTCACCCCCAAATCTGGAGCAAAATTACAAAGCTTCGACTCAACTGACATTAATATTTTTCCTGTAAGCTGAGCTCCCTATCAAAAGAAATTCATGAAGTGGGTTATCAATTATCTATAGTCAACAAAGTAAATATTATTCCATTTTATCCTCACAAAAAAAGCATAGGGTTATCATGAAGGAAGAATTTGAGTCCCAGAGAATTGAAATTAACAAATACCTTTCTACTACTGTTTTGAAGAAACAAAATCAAGTCAAGGTGATTTCTCTCATGAGATCTAATAATGATATTCACAAAGTTTCAGGAATAACAGGGAGTGGGAAGAAATTTTTACTGGTAGACTAATGACTTTTCTATGCTCTCTCTTTTTCATTTCAACTTTCATTTGATAAATTATTTCTATGTACAATGTACATAACTACAGTGTACTTGCTTAAAAATCCAAGGAAGGAAGGAAGGAGAGAGGGAACAGAAGGCAAAGGAGGGTAAGAGAGAGAGGAAGGGAATCTTTTCCCTTTTTCTAATGAAATATGAAAATGTTCATGTTAACAGATGTGTAGGTAACCATTAGCTGAAAATCTGTAAAATTTGAAATCAGACTTGGTATCTCTTAAAAACATTTCGATTAGAACATCATTTATTGAAACCTTTGTGGTAAGAAATTGATAGTGATATTGTGATTCAGCTGTAGAGAAAAATTTGGTTTTATATCAATCTTCTTTCAAGTCTCTTGGGCTTAATATAGTTGGTAAAGATCTAACTCCGAAATCATAAAACTAGTTCGATACTTGCTGTACTTCCAATGTTTCTTTTTATTTTTTAAAATTTAAGTTTTTGAGGGAGAGAGAAAGAGAGAAAGAGAGAGAGAAAGAGAGAGAGAGAGAAAGAGAGAGAGAGAGAGAGAGAGAGAGAGAGAGAGAGAGAGAGAGAGAGAGAGAGAGAGAGGTGGAGCTCAAAGAGCTGAGTACATGCTCTGGTGCAGGAGGCCTGGGTTCAACCCTGAGCACTGACAGGTATATCCCAAATCCCTCTTCCCCCAAATTTAAGTTTTTGATGCTACTACTCTTTCCACTTCTAAGCAATTTTCCTATAGATACATTCATACACCTCCTGGTAATTCCTAGCATACATCTCCTCACCCCCAAGAATATAAAAACTTGAACTAGAGAACATTAATTATGTCCACTGCAGAGCTGTTTGAAATAGCCAAGATCTGGAAACAACTCATATGGTCAATGGTCAATGGCCAGATGAGTGGACAAAGAAACTGGTTGAAAAAAGAGAAAGAATAAAAAAATCTATCTACCATATGGATAGAACTAAAGGATATCAAGCAAAGGGAAATAAGTCAGGAAAAAACACAAATATGAGATAATTTCACTCCTATGGTATATTAAAATTTAAAAAAATGAAAGGAGTAGACAGTGTCCAACAAAAGCAAACCCTTAGACTCTAACAAGAGAACTGAGGTTACTAAGTGGAAGAGGTTGGGGAGTAGAGAAGGAGGGAGCTGATGAAGGAACCCAGGGCAGCGGCAGAAGGCTACTGGCACTGTGGTGATGGGTGTGGTACTTAACATTCGAAATGTAAAACATACAAATTATACAACATACTACCTCAGTAATAATGGTAAAAGAATAAAATTAAGTTCATAAGGATAATGACGGGACAATAATTGACAGTCAGATAGTTAACCTTGAGGCATAAAAGAAAATTAGTTAATGTTATAAATGTTCATAATTCATATAAAAAAGATTCACCCCATGTCATTAAAATAGTTATGACTTTTAGCTGCATGAAGGGAAGAAGCTTTATTTATATAAAAGATTCATTAAGGTGAAAACAGGGGCAACAACATCAGATGGCAAAGATTTCTGGTATCCAGAAAGAATCTGAAGTTTCGTCAACGTACTAGCCAAGTGACAGATACCAAACGAATTTTCCAACTGAAACGGAGCATACTGTGTACATTCCAATGTGGAATAATCTGTATATAAACATTTTAGTGCTTTTTTTGAACATGATATATTTTCAGGGATGTCTAGGGAAATTGTCAGTTATTTCCCAAACTCCTCTGTCTATTTCTCTGATCACGTCAAGGTTCTTTTTACCTCTCTTTGGTGGTCGTACGTGATATGTAAAGTCATTAATGACCAGCTTGAAGTCATCAAGGAGGAGAAGATCTATGCCTGTCGAGGAAGCAACTCGAACGCCATCTGTGAAGCATAAATGTGAAAATATCAGCTAGTCACACGGACAGCATCACTCAAAAATGATCAGGAAAAAGGCAATCCTCAAAATAGATTTTAATAATTACATTTCTCTCTACATTTCAGTTAGCTTTGGCCTCATTCCCAAAATCTATGCTAAACAAAGCTCATATTAGCGGAGGCATTTTTGCTTCCATGGCCTCAAGTCTGTGAATATATAATATGCATGTGTATAAAGTGGGTGAAGGGAAAGTGGTTGAGGAAAATTAACAATGATGGTGATTACACCTGGAAAATATGCTTTTCTGGTACAACCTTATGAACAGAGAAAGATTAGATTTATCGGTATCAGTTGTGAATTTAGGGTAACTACGTGAGTTGAATGGGTTTCTTTTTTTTGGGGGGAAGAGCAATGTTCAGGGTATACTTCTGGCAGTGGGCTCAGGGATCATTCCTAGTGATGCTTAGGGGACCACACAGGGTGCTGGGAATTGAAGTCAGGTTGGTTGCATACAAAGGAAGGGCCCTATGTGCTGTTCAGGGGACCATACAGGGTGCTGGGAATTGAAGTCAGGTTGGTTGCATACAAAGGAAGGGCCCTATGTGCTGTATTACCTTTTCAACCTCTTTCTCATGCTCTGACTTTCCCTTTCTGCTTTGCCCACTAGCCCCAGGTTTGAAGGGTTCATGTGAATGGATTTCTTATATTTGTCTATGTTATTGCTTTTGTAGAAAATGTCTTCTAAGATACAGTACTTTTTTTGTAATTTGTATTAGTGAAACACCATGAGGTACAGTTGTAGATTTACAAATTTTTGAGCTTGGGTTTTAATTATACAATGATCAAACACTTTTTCAGCATAAAATCATGCTGATTATAAGTACTTAGTATATATTTTTCAGTGTAAGTACTGGACTGCCAGTCATTCTGGAGGGACAGATGGTAGGTTTAGCAAAGTATAACAACTTGATCTACTAATTATATTGCTAAAAGAGGGGAGAATTAAGATTGTATTTAGAAGACTATGCTTTCAGGAATTATTTCTGTAGTTTGCACTAGAGAGGTTTCTCTGACCATGTAGTGCACCTGAAAGCATGAGGGGAGCCAGAGCATCTTTCCTGAAAGTGAAGCTGGTTCTAGATGTTGCTTTTGCAACTGCCTTTTACTATTGATGGTCGTTCTTCTCTTCCTTTGGAAGAGTTAGAGGGAGAGAATGTATTCTGAGTAGTTTCATAAAAAAACAAAAAAACAACTTACATTTAAAATAACTGAATGTGGTAATTTTTTAAACTGGCAAACCAAATTAAGAGTAAACAGGTAGGGGGGTGGGGGGGATGCTGGGACCCGTGGTGATGGATGACGGGCACTGGTGGAGGGATGGGCACTTGATCATTGTATAACTGAAACCCAAGCACAAAATTTGTAAGCCTATAACTGTACCTCAGGGTGTTTCACTAATAAAAAAAGAAAAAAAATAAATATAAAATAAAATTAAAAAAAAAACAAAGATACAATAAAGATAAATATTATTTTAAGCCTAAAAAAAAAGAGTAAACAGGTAGTCACTGTACCAATCTTTGAAGCTTTCTGTAGGCATAACACTTTTCGAAATAAAAATGAGAAAGAAAAACCAAAATACTTAAGGAATAAATAATAGATGTCATATAAAATGGGAATTTTTAGTTCCTTATTTTGTATTCTTTTCAAATCTTGTGCCTTTAGTCTTATAAATTTTCATGTGAAAGACATAGGAAGATCTGAAAAGAGATTCTAAATGTTTCATATCTCCAGAGATGAGGACTCAACAACTAGAAAATTTATTCTGTGCCTAAGGTAATGATAAAAGGTCTCAAAAAGATAACGCGTGATCACTGTTCATCTTTGCTCACAGCATTTTATGTGAGGGGCTTTGAATGAGACATTCGTTAAAACTGAACAACTGTATTTTGAGACCCACGGGGAGAGAAATCCCGTTCTTTCCTGACATCTGCAAAGTAAAATGCTTTTTAAAGAATATGAAAATTTTAAACTTTTATTGATAATTCTACTTATCACTTTGTCATCACAAGCAATATAAACAAAATTATTTTGTGCCTGCCAAGGGGGCAGGCTTGGTGGGTGTTTGGGAAACTGGGAACAATGGTGGAGGGAGGGTCACACTGGTGGTGGAATTGGTGTTGTAATAATGAATGCCTGGAACAATGGTATTAGGAACAACTCTGTAAACCATAGTTTTTAAACAATTTGTTTGTTTTGCTTTTTGTTGAATCTCCGTGAGCTACAGTGACAAAACTTTCATGTCTGAGTTTCGGTCATGCTTGAACACCCATCCCCCTCCAACAGTGTACATCTTGTACCACCAATATCCCCAGTACCCCTCCCGTTCCCACCCCCTGCCCGTCTCACCCCACCCCCTGCCTCTATGGCAGACAATTTCCCTCTTTCTCTCTCTACTTATGGGTATTAAGGTTTGCAATACATATAATGAAAGGCCATCACATGGTTTTAAAAGCTTTTTTTTTAAAAAATGAATTTTTTACAGTAATTGTGTGTGTGAGAGAGAAAGAGAGAGAGAGAGAAAGAGAGAGAGAAAATAGGCATGTGTGTAAAGTGGTTGAGGAGTGGATGGGAATGGATAATGGAGGTGGCTGTACCTGGTGAGTAGATAGCGACTCTGTCAATTCCCCGATCCTCTTCTTGCAGTTGTCGTAAAAACACACCAACGGAGTCTGAGATAGGTTTGAGAGTGAACTGGCAGCGTTCACGCCGAGATGGCAGCCTCACAGATATCACAGGTAACCCATTCTGATACACCACTGTCACATCTGAGTGAAAAAGACCCGCAATCATAGGATATTAGATTTCATTATAAGCAAAAGCCACAGTTACCACTACTGTTATAATTGAGTCTGTTCTTATTATTATGAAAATATTTTCAAAGGTTTAAGGAGATATTCTTAAGCTTTAATTGAAATTACACTAGGAACTGGTTCTTGGAAGACTGCATGGATCACATAATTCGCTTTTCAGAAAAAAAGAAGCAAACATGTGAAGTATTATATTATAAGTGGGTCAAAGGAGGGGCTTTCCCAGGAATTAGAGGTAAAGTTCTTGCTAAGTATAAGCCCTGGTTCCTTTTAGTACAATTTATGTTGAATACTCAGAGATGGCTGGTTCATACTGTATAACTGGTAGGAGACCAGCTGTAATGGACAAATTACATAGAGGCATAGTAAGGGGTAGTTGGAACAAGACTACAATGGGTAGGGCCTTTTACTTGTACACGGTAAACCTGCATTCAATCTCTGGAATCTCATATGGCATCCCAAGCATCACCAGGAGTAATTCCTGATTGCAGAGCCAGGAATAACACTTGAGAACAACCAGGTGTGGCCCCCAAGGTACCCCCCCACCCAATAAAACAAACCAAAACAATAACAATAGAAACTCCTGTAGGGGGTTTGCGGAAAACCTAGGTTCGATCCCTAGTATCGCCCATTGTCCACCAAGTACTGCCAGGAGTAATTCCTGAGTGTAGAGCTAAGAGTAACACCTGAGCATCACCATATGTGTCCCCCCAAACAAAAACAGAAAAAAACCAAAAATTCTTGTGTAATAACATCTTAATTATGTGCTAGTGCTCTATTAAGTGAGACACTCAGAGCAGTCAATTCTTATTTTAGAACAACATTATGTCCAAGGCATATGATAAGTGAGCATTCACTCAACTAATACTGACCTTACTAGGTAAGGTAAAGGTAAAGGCCCTCCTGTTGATCGTCGATTTGCTCGAGCGGGCCCAGTAACGTCTCCATTGGAGACTTTGTTGTTACTGTGTCTGGCATATCGAATACTCTCGGTAGCTACTGACCTTACTACAAAAAATAATTTCCTTCATGCCCTGTTGTACACCTTCCTAAAGCTAACTGCTTGGGATTTTCTAACTGGCAATTAAGAGAAGCATTATGATAAGTTACACAACTGAAAGAGTTTTCTTACAACATTATGACATAAAATTCCTTATTTCCTCATATTTTTCCTCAGTAGTGTTGACTGAGAGAGAAGTTAGTCAAGAAGAAGTCAGCTGAAGAGGGGCAGAGACAAATACCTGCAATCTCTCTCACACGTGGATGGAAAGAGGCATAGTAAGGGAGTAACAAACCCGTCAAAGCAACAACACAACCCGAGAACTAGTCTACAGAACAGAATCCACCATGGCCAGGAGATGGGGTGAGGAGTAGGGGCTTAAGGGAGGGAGGAAAGACCGTGGAGGAAAGAAGGTGACACTGTTGCAGGGTGTGGTGTTGGGCACACTGCGTGCATGAAACCCTATCATTGACAGTGTTGTAGATCACGGTAACTAAAATAATAATAATAAGTAGTCAGCATAACTCCAATTTATTCTTTGAAGTGATTTAAAATGAATAAGCTTTAGGGAACTGGAGCCATAGGGCGCTGGGGACTGAACAGGGTTGGCCACGTGTAAGGCAAGAGCTTTTCCCCTAGTACCGACCATTTCTTTTACATAAGTCCAAATTGCTATGATTTGTTATCTGAGAGGTAATACATCAGGCAAGGCACTTGCCTGGCACACAGTCAGCCTTGATTAGATCCCTAACACTGAATGTGGTTCCCAGAGGCCCATCAGGAGTAAGTCCTGAGCACTGCTGGATGTGAGCCCCAAACCAAAAATTTTATTGAAATTAAAGAAATACGAGTGCTTTGAGAAACTCTGCAGAGAATACCACACTGAAGAACTGACAAGCCTTCCTTCTAATACTGCGTTTGAAATAAGTCCCCAGGTCTCCTGCTTCCCCACACACTGTATTGTAATGGAAATATTACATTTCCCAGTTTGTAACCAAAGGAGAGCAATTACCTCAGATTTGACAATATATAAAATAGCTATTGGTAGTAATGAAGTCACAGTGGCATTTTCAAGATAAAGACAACTGTCAACTACTATTCTCTAAAGAAAACTCTTCTTTTAAAGTGTAAACTAACATAATTCTTTCATTGCTTAAAAAAAAACCAAACAAACCAAAAAAAAAAAAACCCTATTGCTTTGCTTTACATTTCAATAAAATAAGAAGTCTATGGCTCTGGCTAGAAGAAGTCAACAAATTATGGGATATCCAATATGACTGAGACAAAATATGACAGCAGCTTAAGATAAAACAAAAAAGCAGAGAGGGCAAAGCACTTCCATACTTTCAGGAATAAAGACCCTATGACAGAAGAAATTAGGATATATAAGCAGGAAGGTACACAACACAACAAAACAAAACTTTTTAGACCAAGAAGAAAAATGCAAGAACAATATATATTTAGGGTAAAAAAGAAGAATTAAAAAATTTAAATAACTTTGGGGCATCATTTCTAGGAAAAAGCCACTAAATGCAAATGCTTATTATTTAAATGCTTTTTACCCAATTCTTTAAAAAAATGCTTATGCAAATTCATAGTAGGAAGTTTGGCTGGTGTTCAAAATCATGGGCAAATTTTGTAAAATATCTCATGAACACATATAACTATATAACAAAGACTTCTGAAAGGGCTGCTGGCACAGTAAGGAAGCACAAAAACAGTGTTTTCTCAAAGCTGCTTAAAACCGAACATTGTAAGAGGAATGATTCTAGTGGTCTGTCATCTTAAGGAGATTCTGTCCCCGCTTCCCTTTGTTGTTGCTGCAATGTCTGGGGAGTGCCAGTTTGGTTGTGGGGCTTGAGCACTTGTTGCCATGCTCACTGGGGTTGTGGTAGCAAAAGATCATCACACACTTCTTGTGGCACTGGACATCACACCAGCAGCACCACCAGGACTGCACTTGTCCCAGCTAGCGCTGACTTCGTCCTTCTTCCCGTAATAGTCTACATATCGAATGTGAAATTTAATCAGAGAATCTTAGTGCTGGAAGAATCCGAGAAACCACACAGGCTTTAGCTAAGTCTGGCAAGATTCGATGATATTGTTCAGGTCCCACAGTACAACCCAAAGCAAAGTGACTTTGTGTGTCACGGTTTGAACTAAAAAAATCATTGACTTTCTTGTCAAATGGCACCCATGGCACTGGATGGCACAATTCAGTGGGGATTTCAGTTCTGACCTGCTTAATTTTTCAGAATATCTAGTGATGTTACCCGCTTCTTCACTTTAAAAAGCTTTTCCTTTGGCTTGTTTTTATTTTTTCCCCGCTGAACTCACTGTATTTTCTCTTAAACACGTTCTTTTCCCATTCTCTCCATACGCCTTTTGTTTGTTTGTTTGTTTGTTTGTTTTTAAGCTTTTGGGCCATAACCAGCTGTGCTTAGGACTTACTCAGGAATCACTCTGGCTGGCTGGGGGGCGTATCAGATTCCGGGGATCAAACTTGGGTCAGATGCATGGAAGACAAATGCCCTCACCTGCTATACCATCTCTCTGGCATTCCCCTCGCATCTTTCTAATAAAATTTAATTAAAAACTATTTTGCTTCACTCAAAAAAAGCTTTTTACACGCTCCAGTTTTGTTTTGTTGTGTACCTTCCTGCTTATATATCCTAATTTCTTCCGTCATAGGGTCTTTATTCCTGAAAGTATGGAAGTGCTTTGCCCTAGGCAAACTTCTAAACCCTCACAGACCATAGCTGATGACATGTCTTCACAGTTCACCACCTTCTAACTGCTGATCATATCCAAAACCTCTTTGAACCACTGGACAGGTGAATTTGCCAAAAGCATTCCTCAAAATCAAAAATTTTAAAATTAATTTTCCCTAAACTACTCATCTCCAACATTTTTAAAAAAATCTCAGTCGATAGCATCAACATTTAACCAACCCAGGAAATAGATAAACTGGATATTAATTGATATTCTTGACTACTCTTAGAGCAAAAATATCACATTTCTCTTCTCTGACCAGTCAGCACATCCTTTTGTTCTATTTTCCAAACATCTCTGCTCCGTCCAATTCTTCCCAATGCCACCATTTTGGTCCAGGCCACCACTGTCTCTGCTTGATTAGCTACATAACAACTGGGCTCTACTTTCTTCTAGTCAGGCTCCTGTTAAAAAAAACTGCTCACACTGAAGCTGGATAATCTTTTATACTCCTAAAGATGATTGCTATTTGATGTTTCATCATTTCCATAACAGATGCTCATATATATATATATATATATATATATATATGGCCCACCATGCACTTTAGGAGTGACCCCTGTGTACTACTGGCTGTCGCCTCAAAACTTAGAATAATTTTCTAAGAATAAATGTTATTAAAGAACCTAAAGCTGAATAGGAATAAATGCAGAATTATATTAATGAATACAAAGATGGCATTGTAAAAACTGACAATTTTTCCCACATGTGAATTGATAAACTTAATATGATGCTAATCTAAACCCTAGTAGGAATAGATCAGTTTATTTTAAAAATCTCCTGAAAGAATACAACTATACAGAATGAAAATTATCATTTTTCTTTTGCAGTGCTGGGGATGAAACCCAGCACCCCACACATGTAAGACAATTGCCTTAACACTAAGCCACATACCTGGCAAACAATTAGCATTGTAATAAACTAATAAAAATGGCTTCATAATAACCTGAGAAAAACCTACCTATAAAAATATGAACACAAACTTTTCTTTAAACATTCAAGTTAGAAGAACTAAATATTTCACATGTCAAACATCATCTGATGAAAATTCATTTTAAAAAATCTGTGTTTATATACAAAGCATATTTCCATATAAATGTTTCAAAGTTATATCACACAGTCACAACTTTAGTTGTTCAATAAATATAGTTGTTTAAGTGTATTTGCAAGTTTTTGCAAGTACAGT